AGCCTCATACAGAATCTATCAGCACCTTTTCTCTGGCCAGCCCTGAAGCTAACCACTCGTCCACATTGGAGCCTTCCCTCCTACTCAGACAACCTGATATCATCTTCTAGGATTCTCCTTGACTCTGTAGCCAGGCTGTAGTCAAGATGCATCACCAAAGCTGTGCAGGCTGCACATACCTTTCTGATCCCTGTGTTTTAAGAAATAAATTTTGAATATGAATTTGGACTTTATTTATTGCCTAATGATATAGAACTAGAAACAAGGACTGTTCAAATGCTCTGTGCTTAAACATGTTTGTGAATTGTGGAAATCACTATAGCATATTTTCCTAAAGGTTTTCAGTCCAGTGTAGTATTTTGATAGGCTTAATCCCAAAAGTTTGAATTCCCAGAATGGATTAATAAAATCTATCTTGGATATAATTTTTCTCATATGTTTCAATAGCTGAAGTTTTTATCTTAGTTTTACTGGCTTCCCTTTTCATAGACTCATCTCTTTTATTCTTTGGAGACTTGCCTATTGTAAATTAAACTTGAACTCTGGGTAACTGATAATTGTTGAGGTGACAGTTTCCAGTAACTGGGTTCTGCTGGGAAAAAAAAAAAAAAAAAGCTAACCATGTCTGTTTGGGAAACTCTTAATTGAAGAAAAATATTTTAGATTTCAACAAACAAGTCAGAAAATTTTACAAAATGGTTTAGCAGAAGCAAGAACTGTATGATAAAGTTATAAGTCAGTACTTTATTATACATTTGTCTATTTTTCACAGTACTCAAGAATGTCTCACACATGCCAGGCACTCATTGCACCATTGGGGTTACCATTATATTTAAACAGTGAAATTTGGTGCTTTGTTCAATCAAGTAGCTTAGGTTTGTAATTAACTGAGTTATTGGAATTATAAGAATCTGTTCCAAGAAAAATCAAATTGTAAATTGTATGTACTTTTGATTGTATATATGCATGTATGATGGGTGGACCTGTGAGTCATCGAGTATAGCATTATGTATGGAGGGCAAAGGACAAGTTTGCAGAATCTGCTTTGTTCTACCTTCCCATGATTTCCAGGGTTCCATTCCTCAGGGTGGTTGCTGCAGAATGCACACATCTTCACCCGCTAAACCATCCTACCTGCCCAAAGAAATAGATCTCTAAATAACTGAAGGTAAAACACACAAATTTACAAATAATAAAGCACAGTTTGAAGTTTTTTAATTTCATTAAATCAGCTCCCCACATTGATACTACTTTGCTTATCACCCATGTTAGAGTAAGAATGATACAACTAATTAAATATTCTTATGCTTGCTTGACATTTTTATTAAAGTAGAGAGAATATTTCTGTGCAGTGAAAAATAAAACTGATATGAATTTGCCATGATAAAAATGGTCCAAAATACAAAGTGCACATTGAATACCAGTGTTCTTTAGCTCTGTTCTTCCCACATTATATTAAACTGACATATATGAAATGTGACAGTAAAAGATGGTCTCTAGTCCCTCTGGAGAGGAGAGAGCCCTACTCGACCCTTCATTCTTTCCCTAATTTAAGCAGTCTTCACAAATACGAAAAAAGCTATGAGAGATGTTAAGTTGTACAGACTTGGAACTTAAACTCAATTTATTCTATGCTATTTTCTCACATCATTTTCGGGCTCTAATTTTTGTGAAGCCCTTTATGTTTGTATATGTTTTAAAAGTGGCCCGATGAAGAAGATTTTAGTAACATCATCCATTGAGGAACATTTAGTTGATTTTCTATGTACATTTCACTTTGAAAATTTCTGCTGTGCCTCTGATAATTACATGAATTGACCTCATGATTATAAGTACTCTCCCTGGCATGAGTAAACAAATACCCCCAACAAAAGCCTAGATGATACAATATAGACATTGTGTAATGGTAATGTGATGAATTTGCCTGAATGTTTAGCTGAAGGTTTTTAGCTCCTCCAAGTCTATACTCAGAATTTTGAGTTGTCCTATTTATCTGTATTGGTTTTTAGATAATTTCATGCAATACACAGTAATAATAACTGTGATATATACAGGACTTTGTGAAGATAATTTGCTATAAAATTTACAATGTCCATCTTTCGGGTGATCACTTCACTTTTCAAGAATCTTAAGTTTAAAGATGTGGGTAGCACTGGAAACATTCAAACAAGTAACCATATACTAGTTAAGCAGGTTATGTATAAGATATACATTTCTTAAGATACACACGCACACACACACACACACACACACACGCGGATGCAGTAGCAATTAATGAATAAAAGAAGTCATGAATTTAAAGGGCAGCAGAGATAGGAATATGAGATAGTTTGGAAGGAGGAAAAGAAGGTTAAAAAATGTAATCTGAGTTTGGAAGGGTGACTCCACATTACAGAGTTAGTTCACAGACAGCTCCACTGGGTGGCAGCAATACAGTGTGGAAAGGGTAGAGGGTGCCCTGAAAGCCCCAGCAGGAGCCAATGCACAGAACTCACCATTAGTTACTCTTATTTATGCGCTACCACGTGAGGATACTGACATTCATAAACTCAGAATTCTCCATGCTTGATTAGGTTAAAAAAATTAAAACAAAAAACAAACACAGCAATAATATTTGATTTGAACAGTATCTTAGTGGAGAATAGTTTCACTGTGCAATGCAATTACTTTTATATCCATTTTTCATTGTAATGTGTAAGATGCTAAGTTTTGAGTAGAAACTTTTACTCGATTAAGTATTCAATTTCAAACATTATAATGTGGCTCTTGATATACAGTTAGTAAACATATATTGTGTGCTATCTCCATAAAATTAAATGCAAAATAAGCATCTTGGGTATAATAGGTTTTATAAACACCGTGACTATGATTCAGAATTACATATTCTCGTAAATTATTCAAAGTTGAATTTGTGATTCACAGCATTTTAGTAACTACTGGAAAAATAGCACTGTCATGCATGTCTGCAGCAAGGCAAAAATACTGCAGAAACTTAACATTTATCGTATGCAAATGCCTAACCTGTTAATGCAACTTAGACTTAAGTCAGCATGCAAGGGAGAAAACAAAGAAAGGCGAGGCAAAGAGAATCTTAGAACACTTAAGAAAGGTGAGCTGTGACAGAACATACCCCACTCTTTCATCCTGAGTTACAAGCCCCACATACACATCCGTGGAAGTCGGGTGAACTCACTCTGGTCAAACAAATAAGGCACTAAGTCATTCTGCTGTTTTCCTTTTTTAAGTTAAATGTTTATTTGCACTGCTTGAAGGATAACATCAGTCAAAATAATCACACAGTGTGGGTCTAAGTATAGTCTCCATGTTATTAGAAATATAATTCACTCGGCCTAATTCCTTATTCCTTTGCACTGTGCAGTATCTTCTGGAAAGTATTTTACCATAATTGTGTTGTGGTCACAGGAAGAACTAGATACAGCTGTGCTGTAATTAAATCTGTGAGGCATGCCTTCTCACACTATGAACGACATGCCTGAGAGCAGATTCCTTAGGGCACACCAGTTAAACTGCATTATTACTCAGGGTGGTCAGCCTTATAAAAATATTTCTGTTAGGAACTCAACTCTGTGAGCAGTAACATTTTGTAATATAAGAACAGCCTCCTAAATGACCCAATTGAAAAGGTGCAGATAGTGAAGCACTGTGTGTGTGTGCTCACGCGCACCCTCGAGTGCGCATGATAACACCCTAGATGGTAGATCAGGTAAGAGCAAGAGGGCCCAAACCTCTCCTCAGTCTTGTCACTACCCTTATAATTTGTAATTCAGATGCAAGCTGGGTATCAATGTAAAAGATTTGAAATATAAGGCAGAAACAAAGAACATAGCTTGATCCTGTCTCCATATGAACACAGCAAACAGATGTGCCCATCAAATGGTGTCTTACGTTACTAGCTAAGGCAAACCTGGGTGACTCAAAATTGTGGGTCAGATAAACCCTTGCAAGTGAACAAGCACTGTCCCAAACATGCAGCTGACAGCATAGACTGTTATAGTGTTTATGACCTAAACCCAAAGGAAGTAAGAAAGAAAGAAAAAAAGAAAAAGTTAAAAAAAGATTTTTTTGTTCTTGTGGTCTCTTGTTTTTGTTTTATTGAGATTTGTGCTCAAGATTCATGTGCCAAACAGAACAAAGGAAACTGTCAGAGCTGAGGAGAAGACTTGGGTTTTGTAGAGATTCAAGCTCAAGCAAGGGGATCTGAACTTGGATCCCTAGTACCCACTTAAAACCTGGAGCAAGGCAGGAACATGTAATCCCAGCTCTGGAGAGGCAGAAATGAGTGAGTTCTCAGGGTAATGATGGACAGCCAGTCTAGCCAATAGTGAGGCTCAGGTTCAGGAAGAGACCACCCCACGCCCAAAACTAAGGTGGGCAACTGAAAAAGAACTTGATGCCAACCTCTGGTCTCCATATCCATGTGCTCATGAGTACCCTGCCCCTGGGCACAATGGCTGCTTCATGTGAATTAATGACAAAACAAACAATAACAAAAGAAACAACTAGCAGCTTAAGTATTTAGCACAGTCAACCACTTTAAGTGATATTAAACCACAATCTTAAATACTGCCCAGTTTGAAAGTAGAAAAACCAGCACTAATATACTTGCCTCCAGTAACTATGGGGGCTTTTGAATCCATTTGCATCACCAATCGCCTAAGCAATAGAGACATGTCTTTACTGTGACTGCACAGGTAGGTGAGATGTCTAACCAGGCTCCTGCAGGAAGCACTTTCGACAAAGGAGACCACAGTCACTGTCCAGGTACCCAGCTTGCAGACTTGATGCGGGACACGATGTTTCTTGTCCCACTGTGGTTCAGGTCTGTTCGTGGTAGGCTGTATTGTTTCCCTCTAGTGCCTCAGTATTTGAGTTGCTTTATTAATTTTGCTGCCTGAATGTGCTTTTATTTGTTTCTGCTTCAGCAATTTTGTTTTGCTATTCAGTTGAATTTACCTTGACCAATTTTTCGATTTCCTTAGGTCCGTGTGTTTACATTTTCTGTTGGTCAGCATAATTATGACAGAGGACCTATTCAGTGGATGGCTTGTGAAAACAAAGGTAATACATATGTTCTCTTGAGCATGTCTTATCAGAAGATAAAATACTTTGATAATTATTGTTAGGTCTTTCCTTGCACTTAAACTAGTGACTTTACAAGGTATGGAATAAGAAGTAGATTCTAAGTCTTCTTCCTATAGAGAACACGTACAACAAACTCTGAGATTAGTGCACACTCAAACATCTGATCCTGATACTGGGACAGATGAAGAGATGAGTGATGCTTAATGATATAGAGCTGATTTGTTCTAATTTTTTTTCTAAATGACTGGATTACTGTTTTTGAAAACAATCTTATACTTTTCCTCAATATTCAAATTTCTCACAGTGAGCTATTTTCTTTGTACTCAGAATAAAAAGAAAGTCATTTGAAGAGTAAAATGTTATAGCAGAAAAGATAACCTATATACATCCCAAAACTACATTTAGCAAAACATATGCATATAATATTTGTATATATCTGTACTTTTAATGTTTATCTAGTGAAAAAGAGTTTAATAGTTCTAGTTTCCTTACTGCTTTGTAGAGGAAAAGTTATTTTATGTTACCTAAGAAATATATTAAAATTTATCATAAATTCTCCAAAGTGATTGACAATACTCGCTAATCAATATTTTTCTGATTTTAACATTTGTATTTATATTTTAATAAATGTTTATATTATTTATCTACTTGCTCAAGTTAGAAAAAATTACCTTTCCTCCTATAAAAAATATAAAGCTATTTTTATTGTCCTATAGGTATAATATTTATAATTTATAATATGTATATGACTTTTAGGTTATTATTATGAAATTCCCTCCATTGGCGCAATAAGGATCAATACTCAGGTATGGTTATCTAAAAACTCTTAAATATTTTTCACAGTTAAAGATATTTTCCTGGTTTAATTAGTTCAATCTAAAGAGAATAGTTTAAAATAGAAAAAAAGATTTACATAATGAATGTTTATACAATGCTGTCTAATATGATATTTATTGGTTTTATATCCTTAAACATCTAAAACTTGGGTAAACATATATATATATATATATATATATATATATGAGCTTGTTATTCTTGGGCATTAAATAGGTCATAGAAACTGGATAGTGAGAAATTTATTAATAATCTCATGAAATTTTTATTCAATTTTAAGTCACATGACTTTCACAGCCATATAGAACACTAAATAGTAATTACTCTGGGTGAGTGATATAATAAGCTCTATATAGGACTTGAGTTTTCTGTACATATTCCTGCAAATCTATTTAAATAAAGCTAAAATAACACCTTTTAACACCATTCATTTGTGGAGTTGAGGAGCATACCATTTATATAACATTTTGTAGAATTCAGCGATTTTAATTTAAATATTTTTTATTTTGAAATGTTCATAAATTACAATTTAAAGATTGTTGCTCAGTTTGAAGCACCAACAATAATGCACAAAATAGCTGTTAAAACTTAACATAAATAGAGTTTGGCATTTAGTGTACATGCTGAACACACTGATTGTTGAAATGAAACAGCAGTGAATGTGTCTGGACTTGGCACATATTTTAGTTATTTTTTTGATATGTTTGAATGCAGTTTTGAATTTCATCCAAACAATCTGTTATGTGAAAGCAAGTATGTGGTTGCTTTATCATTTCAAATTTGTACAATTTCACACATAAATCATGGAGCCTTAGAGATCAACATGAAGCCATTCATAATGAACATATTTCACTTATCATTGGCTGTACTTTGAGGAATAATGTTCTGATTGGCACTAGAAGAAAAAGCTAGAGAAGATATATTCCATAAATAGATGTTATTGATTCAATGTATATAAATGTATCATATAAGGAATAAGGTAGATCACAAATAGAGAGTGCCCTAAGTAGGACTTACACATTCTTAATAATTTGGGTCCATATTCAGTTTCAACTTTCAACTTTTCCATTTGAAGGTTATTTTTAAACATAGTATGTCTAATTTGTTTGTTTTGTTGATGACTTACACCGTTTCTTTGGTATGAATAGGAATATCTAGATGTTCTTGGAAGACCAATGGTTTTAGCAGGAGACAAAGCGAAGCAAGTCCAGTGGACAAATGTGTATTTGGATGCACTGGTAAGAGGTTATGATCAAAACCCAAAACTGTCTTACAAGAGCACCCAGCTGATTTTGCTTCTCACTGGGCAACATTTCCCTTTTCCTCTTCACTGATTCATTACTTTGCAAGCTTCTTAGCTTAGGGAAATTTTTAGAAAATCCTAGGATTGCATTAATATAAAGTTGTACATGTAAAGTTATAGGTTATTCTTGATCTATTGAAAATACTGCTTTTCCAGTGTAGAATGGCGACTATATGGGGATTTCAGTAACTTTTTGATATTTTAATGTGGGAAAATAATGCTGAACATCATGTGAGTAGTGACCAAGTACTCCACATTTTGAACAAACACTTTGAAGCACATCTTTTTTAAAGTGGATGTCCATTGTTAACTATACGTACATGTTCCATGATTGTATCTGGACTTATACAAACTCAAATGGACATTTAGTTAAAGCCACATGACTCTGACAACGTATTTGAATAAGCGTGGAAATAATCACATCTTCATATAGACTGTCTGGCTCTAAGTTCAGATTTAGACATTCTCTGGGCAAGATCACATTGAGGTAATCATATTGGCTGCATCAGGTCCCCCATAATGCAGCATTCTATCACGTTTTAAGCACTAATTTTCAACTAGGAGTTACTTTTCCCTATCTGTTTCACTTGAACATGTATGAAGATATTTTTCTCTGGCACAGAGTGGTGCAGAGAGCTCTCAGTGGCATATAACAGATAGTAAGTACCCTTGGTTGGTGTTAAATATCCTATAATACATCAGTTGGCCCTGTTTCCCATACAGCTCAAAAATTATCCAGCCAAAGTTGTGACTATGAGATAAGCTGAGAAATCCTGTTCTACTTTATTTTTACTTTATGACACGTTATTAAAACTTATAATACCTAAGATTGTTTCATATACTAAATGTGAATTTAAGGACTTTTAGTCATTTACCAAAGTGATATTCTAGAGAGTCTAAACGCAAAGCTGAAAGTAAATGCTGATTCAATAATGCCCTTTTCCCTACTTGGAGTGCAGTTAAATGCCTTTGCTACTTCTCTGAGTGCAAGGATGAACCCAAAGGGCAAAATACAACCCGTTAGAATGACTTATCACTTGGTACTTACAAAATAAACACATACAGGAAGTTAGAGGAAAAGTGGGGACTGTTAGTAGCAGTCTTGCATGTGAAGAGAGATAAAGGGAAGCTTGCTTACCTCAAGCCTCAGAAAATGACTGCCGGGTGTTCCTTCTTGACGTTACTTATTTACTTAAGGTCACATGGTCATCTTCAGCCATGAGCAAGATGTTCAAATCCATCACGGGATTGCACATTCTGGGAGTCGATAGTTAGGCCCTGCTGAATTTCCTATGACCAGAAGTTCAGTAACCAGAGTGCCTTGCTGGCGAGGTTCTCTGTGATAACACAAACAACATTTGGAGGAAATACTGATTGTAAATGTTCTACTTTACAGGCTGAAACAAGATGTTTAAAAAAAAGAAAACAAACAAAAGTGGGATGTGTTGTTAGGTGGTCAGAGACACAGAGAGAATGCTGCATACTGGTTTGAAAGTTAGTGACCCATCATTAGAATCATGACAAGTAGGGTCTTCAGAGTGTTCTTCAGTCAAATCGGATGTTAACATACAGTATTCCAAGAACAAACTTGATAACTACTGTAACATGAAGAATTCAAAGAGGTGTGGCATTTTAAAAGAAAGATGTTGTATACTTGTGGTTAGAGCAGGGAGTGGTTCAAAAATGAAGACATTTTAGCTGCGTGTAAGCACAGGTCATATTATTGTAATTCATGCAGAGGGTGAAACCACAAAAGCATGCACTACTAAATTAGGAGCACTAGGTTCATTGAAGAAATAATCATACCATCACTGAATCATCTTTAGAGACCCTGGATATAGGAGAGGAACAAGACTAGGGCAATGTCCTTGAGAGATTGTTTTATTTGAAAGATGAAGTTAGGCTCTTTCTATATAAAGGAAGATAGGAAGAGTTGCTCTGTTTATGATGAGTGCCACATTCCAGGAGGCAAGACCCTTAATTTTTCATTCCACTCCTCAGAAAGTGTGCAGAGTACCTGGAACAAAAAATACACTTTGGAGTCTAGTTGCCTAAGTAATATCCATTTCGGAACTACTTAAAAGTAATATTTAAACACCACAGTTCTCACTAGAATATTCTACAATGTACATATTCTTCTATGTACCATTGTACAGCTAGACATTTGTGATACAACATGGCACCTTTGATTTAAGGCTTAAAATTGTGAAAGAAACTACAGAAAAAAGGCTTTCAACACATCTAAAGTACTGTTTCCATGATAGTCCTGTTTTGGGGGCACCTGATAGCAAATGAACTATTTTGGAGGAAATGTAGATGTGAAAAGAGTTACTGGAATGTTACAGTTACATTTGTGTAAGTTGGTTTTATTTTGTTCACAATAGTTATTAGATATTGTAAAACTACTTAATAAATATTTACTACTTCTGAGAAATTTTCATTGATTTTTTTTAAAAGTTCTCTTTAAAGACAGTCAAAATTGGTTATTAAGTTTTTGTGACTTTTTACAATATAATTGCAAAGTGAAGTTTCCAATTGCAAAGGCTAATCCAGTAGGACAGAGTTGAAATGTTGCTTTCATTGGCCTTTTCTTTCCATCTATTTTTAGGAGCTGGGACTTGTCATTACTGGAACTCTGCCGGTCTTCAATGTCACTGGACAATCTGAAAATAAGACAAACTTAAAGGTTAAAAGTTAATTGATAAAACTAGTCACAATAAGTGATAAACTATGACGTTGAAGCTGCACGTAGATAAGATAGTTGTATAAGGAGATACAGAAGATGTAATTGTCTTGTGAGGCTAGAGGTCATTGGCAACAGCTGGCCATATGATAACCACCAGGGAAAAGGGAAGTAAGGTCAAATCCTTCTGGCCCTAGAGTCAGGATTCAGCTTCATTTCGTCTAACTGTGACGTGATGAGAAAGTCAGAAAGTCAGACACAAGTAATGACATGATAAATGGACAATACTATCATGAGCCCACTTTTAAATGTTCTGGAGATATTCAAAGAATTCAGGAGGAAAACAGAAAAGCCAAAGCCTGGTTCTCTTTGAATCAGGTGCAGAAATATATGTTTATTGAATCCTTGCTTTTGAATTCCCAAAGAAGAGCTATTTTGTAATAACCTAATGATCTAATCAGTTACTTGCTTTCTGCTTTTTACAATATAATGAAAAATTAGTTTCATAAAAATATTCAATTTCTATAGCTCTGGTAATATCAGTACAAGAAGGAGCTATGTACTTGAAAGTTGTAACCGATTATTGAATGTAGTTTATACATTTTATGTTTTTACTTATTGAATACTTTTGACTTTAAAATACAATTACAAAGTTAAGAATGAATGTAAGTCTGTAAAATTATTTTTAATACTAAAGGCTTATTATGCAGGTGATATTGATGAATTAAAGGAATATTAATTTCTGGTTTGTAATTCAGTGAGGTTTATTGCACTAAGCATTGATATTTAACTTTTATAAATTTTAGTGAGGTGCCTCATTTTAGCAATTGGAGTTCTACAAAGCATTGGTTCTGGCTTTTAGAGCCACTGACATAGATCTAAATATTGCAATTTTGTAACAGTGTAATTAATCCTGTGGTCTTCCTGCTCATGTTTTAAATTCTTAGCATGACCTACCCATCAGATTGTTTTACATATACTGGTTTTATTCAGTCTAGTTTTAGTTCATAGCAACAGACCATAGTTTTTGGCCCAACTGTTTTCTTTAATACAACTTTCATGCCTCTTATGGTTTAGGTTTAGTCATTAACATTTCATCTAAGTTAAGTAATTGGGATGGTGAAGTTGTGGAAAACAAAGATGAGAGTCCTTGTAAATTGACACCAAAAGTACCGTGTGTGTGTGTGTGTGTGTGTGTGTGTGTGTGTGTGTGTGTGTGTTGCACTAACACTAATGTGGAAGTCATTTATGATTATAATAAAAGGGTAAACATATTTGTGTAGAAACAGTGTCCGCTATAAAATGCACTAACTTCACTTTCTTCTTTTAGAACCAGTTGATTCTTGGTGTGATGGGCGTTGATGTTTCTCTGGAAGATATAAAGAGACTGACACCACGTTTTACAGTAAGAGGCAATTTGTCCTTTGACTACACTTCCTATTTGAAAGCAATGTACCAGTATAGTTTTCCATAAAGCACTTGAGAGCAAGGCACAAGTGCCTGATCTATCAAGAGGTTAATGTAAAAAGGTTATTTTTAAAATATGAAGACACCATTTTGTTTCTTCTGTGCTCCTATACTTGTATTGAATAACTATTAACATGTTTAGTGGAGATTTCTAATTGTGACATAGGAATCTCTAAGCTATTTTACTATTTTCCAGCTGTGCCCCAATGGCTACTATTTTGCAATTGATCCTAATGGCTATGTCTTATTGCATCCAAATCTTCAGCCAAAGGTATGTATATAAATTGTTTATAGTTACTAATGTTTGGTATAATCACTTACTAACAATGACGGGATTATAGCTTGAAATTCTCTTTGTAACATTACAGACAAAAGAACAGTGTCCTTGCCTCCCTTAAGAGAGGATAAGACCACTGATTACAGCATATGAAAATCTGAGAGCATTCTTCATTTTCTCTTGAAAGTTAGCTTAACTACAGTTCTTCTCTCAGACAGTGATCATCACCTCTCAAATCTCATTTTCATATATCTCACTTGCAACTTTAAGGCTCTAAGAGAGAATTAGAGAACACATGACAATTAGAAAGGGCCAGTATAGTAACAGAGGTCTGTCACAGTAAAATCGAACCTTAATTCTTTCATTAGGAGTCCTATTTCTAGTGTCCATTATTATGTAACAAAGTGAAATAATGTTACATGCAAGGTTACTAGGTCAGTGTCATACAATTTTTCCTGGTACTATAGAATTATTACAAAATATTTTAGTGTAATTTTGTAATTTATAGATGGCTATTTCATGTGTGGCCCAAAATATCAGTAAACCAGTCACAAATCTTTTGTGCATTTTTCTCTATGGGATTGTCATTTGTTTTTTCAAAATATATCACTCTATGAACACATTTTAACAAATAGTAAATTAGCTATCCTGTTTTTTCCACCATAGGTTTGTATTTCTCCCATTAAAAGAACTTATTAGATTTGGTATCATGATAAATTCTGATAAATGCTGATTGATTATATATAAAACTGTATAATTCATGCCTTAGAAATCAATATTCAAAATAAATCTAGTATTATGGTTGAGTTCTCCTCTAGCTTATTAATAGATACCACTGACTTCATTCCTTCAGATAACAAAGGATCAAATTTGAAATGTTCATGGACTCGTAATACCCTTTTATGTTTATTAGTCTATTTAGACTACTCTGTGGGGAAAAAATTTAAAGACCGGTATGCTTCTAAAGAATAAAACTTACTTTATGTATTTTTATTATGCTAAGGAGCATAATAAAATGCAAGACTCAGGTATGAGTGGATCGGTGTATGTTCCTCCTTGGCAGACAGTTTTTCCCTCTAAGGCAATGGCAGGGGGCCAAGGGGATGGGGGGTCTCTTTGGCTTCTCTTATGTAAGTGTTCTAACCCATTGTAAGCTGTTGCCTTCATATCCTAGCTACCTCTAGAAGACCCAGTCTTCTTTTACAACCCTATTGCCAAGGCAGGATTGCTACAGAAGAATTTGCAGGGGCCATTTCCAATATTTTATTTTATGTGTTTATGTCATGTACATTTCAACAATTTTTATTTTTTAATCTTTTCTTTGTTTCAGCCAAGAAAACTTATCTAGGTCAAACTAGCACTCCCACTCTCTAACTTTTATTTTCTTAAGGAATATTCAGGACAAAAAAAAATGAACAGTTTCTTTAAATAAAAAAAAAAACAAAAAACAAAAAACAAAACAAAAGTGATTCTTACTACCATTAACAGTTTTGGTTAATGTTGGTGTCTTGTTTTGTTTTGTTTTGTTGTCATGGACTCTATGATACAAATATTTTGAGTTGTGAATACATCATTTGTTCTGTTTCCTGTCAAGGAAAAGACTGAGTAAAACTGACTGCAGCATAGAATTATTATTATGCTGATATGTAGGATAATGAACTATCATTTCTCTGTTGCTTCAGCCTATTGGTGTAGGCATACCGACAATTAATTTAAGAAAAAGGAGACCCAACGTTCAGGTAACTGTGAATGAGGTAGACAGCTGTGCTTTCAAATTTGCCAAATCAGGTTGAGATCAAGCTTCTAGTCTCAAAGCTTGTAAGTGCAGGCTCCTTTACTGCCACCAGGCTTCCAGAGCATGAGGCACAAGGGAGCTTCCCTTCTCAATGAGCAAAGTGTGCTAATTACGGTAAAGGGTGTGCACTGGCTGAAAGGCGGCTAAGGAAATTGACCTAATAATAACGTTAATCAGAATAATCAGAATGAAATGGCTCCTGAAAAAATTGTCATTGAATTTGGTGCAATTAATACCATACCCCTGTTTTCCTAACAGTTTGCTTGTGAAATTGATTTTAAGTGCAAATTGAGTCATAATTGCTGTGTTGTGATTTTTATAAATGAAAATTTTGAGCCCAGTTGTTTTGTTTTTAATTTCTAAAAGTGGAATTTGGGGTTCTGGAGAGATGGCACAGTGGTAAGAGTCCTGGCTGCTCTTACAGAGGCCTGGGATATAATACCAACACCACATGGTGGTTCATAGCCCTTAGGAATTCCAGTTCCAGGGCCTCTGTGCCCATTTTTGGTTTCTGTGGGCACTGTGTTCTCATAGTCCACAGATACACACTGGTTACAGATACATGAAGGCAGAAAACATTCGGCATAAAAGGATATTTCTTATTCAGAGAGATCCAAAATGTTAGAGAAAAATTGACTGCAGATTTGTGTGTAAACCTATCATTTCCTTTAAAACACATGGTAGTGTGTTACTGGAGAGTCAGCATGGTGTTTAGTGATCTTTATGTATGGACAGTGGGAATGAGTTGTAATCTGGTCCTATTAGCTGCCAACACTTTATCTGTGAGCAGTACGTCAGTGTTTTCATCTGTCAATCAGGGGCATTCTGCACTCCTCTTGGAAAACTAAACATGTGTATTGATGTCATGCTCCCACCCTTGGAAGTTCTCATTGAACTTAGGCTCCCGAGCATATGTAAGCATCCCCATCTGTCAAAAGTGGAGTGATTTGGACTAGTGAAGCTTTAGTTCTCTCACAGAGCTAGAACTCTGTGGTAATCTAAGTCTTATGTTGCAGCATCTTCAAAGTTTTAGGCCCTTTTTGGTCCCTGTAGACATTACAATGATGTGTATGCCTTTTTCAACTAGGAAACTATTTTGTTTTTCTGTTTGCATGTACTTTTGTAATATCTTAATTTATAGTTTTTGCTATCAGGTGAATTTTATTTTACCACAACCCCAAATATATGCATGCAAATATTATTAATTAAAAATATGCAACTTTAATAATGATTTATTTTATTCATTATGCAAATTCTAAATGGCAAACCAGCAACTACTCATAATTGTTAAAATTTAAATTTTGTTATCATCATATACTGTCCTTAATAGTTATGATAGCTGAAATTCATGCTGATACAAAATACTAGGCACTTATTTTTCTTTGTGTGAATTTTCAGACACAATGAGACTAATAGAGGTATTCAGTCCATGTTGCTGTTTTCTTTTTAGAAGACTTTTTTTTTTGTCAACTTTCTACTTCTTATAGAAATGATGGATCTTTCTAAAACAAATGAATGCTCTGCCGGATTGCCATTTACAAATACAAGTGATGCATTGACAATTTCTTTTATGATTTCATTTTCTTCTCTGTCTTTATATGTTGGATTGGGACATGATCTGCATATTGCCAATTCCTCCTGATAATGGCTCCTCCCTGCATGCTGTTTGGGGCCGGTCATGCTATGCATTATCCATTGCATGTAAGAGAAATATTCCTACTTCTGTTTTCATTTTACCATTTGATTGTCTTGAGTTTGTTTTGCATTGGTTTATTATCTTAATTTGAATGTTTATACAGTAGAACATTTGTTGTGTCTTTTGGTTAGGGAAGTTGCAAGTTTCATGAGCTTAATAAAAATTCTCAATGTTGACTTTTATTTCCATGTAAACTCTACATTCCAAAGGACTATTTGCTCTTGGTGTATTGTGCTGGAAACCCCAAATACTTTCTACCAATATAATAGAAAGTTTGATTATACAGAGTTCTTAAGCAGTGAATATTTTCTCAATTATAAAAGGCACTGGTTGTGAACAGAGACTTGGGTGGAGTGCTTGAGGAGCAAGCATGAGGCCCTGGACACAATCCCCTGCTCCCTCACCTTTACAAAAGACACAAGGAGAGTATTTTGAAAATTGTTACTTGAAGAATTCTCATTCATCAAACACTATGAAGATTTGAAATTCTAATTTTTTAAAAATAGCAATATTCCTTGAAATAAGGCATCTTGCATGATTATAATATAAATATGTCCTATGTGTACTACACCATGGTATTCTCCATCTAAACAAGATATACAAATTGGACAGATTTTTTTGTCTGCAACTAGTATGTTAGGAGACATATTCCTTTAGCATGGTGTAGCAATATGGATGTTTTTTACAAACTCAAGGTAAAATGTCTGTGATACTAGCAAGGAATCAAAGACTACATTGATTACTAGCATCTAATTTTGGCCATATTTGGATGATACTTTTTAATAAATACTTTAATGTCTACTTTCTAAAAATTTTGATTGTTTTGAAAATTTTATTTAAGTAGAATTTTATTCTGCTAAATTTTCCAACTCTAATATGACATGTTATACGAAGTAGCAAGAATTACAAGGACAGAGGTACATTTTGTCTGTCCACTAAATGGCCTCATTTAATGTTTGAGAAATTAAAAGCACACCAAAATGAGGTGAATTTAACAGGCTAATAGCATCAATTGGGATACAAATAAGTACTCTGTTGAGTTCCACAGTGAGTTTCCTTGTATACCACAAGAAAAGGAAGTGGATGGTAAAGTAGAAAATGGTGTTTAGTGAATCCACAGGTTCTGTTTCTAACCATTTCCTGCCTTCACTTGATAACTGATGACAATTGTCTGTTGCACTTAAAACTCAATGCCTAGCTCTGAAAGAAGGTAAGTAACTTTTATAGAATTAATTCACACTGAGTAATCTTCAGTCTGTTCTGTGTACAGAAATGTCTGCTAATGTCATATGTCCTTAATTATTATCTTCTGTGTAGAACCCCAAATCACAGGAGCCAGTCACACTGGACTTCCTCGATGCAGAGTTAGAGAATGACATTAAAGTGGAGGTGAGTGTGCACAGTCGGGTTACGTCAGACAGACACATGGCCTGACCCTGGGTTCCCTATCCCACAAATAAGTCTTGAGCAGTGGTTTATGTCAGGCCATCTCCTAGCTCACACTGGTGTGTTCTTTGTCGTTAAAATAGTGTGCATCCTCGACTATCATCTTCCAATGATTCATACTGGCAAAGAATGGATATTTCAGGTTAGGTGTGACCTTAATTGTGTTCTCATTTCCTTGGTAACTCCGAAGAGTTATTTTAAATGTACAAAAATAACAATAATTTTAATAAAATTCATACAGGCAGATATGCTATGCAGTTGAGAGAGAAGTTGGCAGGGTTCCAGCCACCCAAACATATGAAGAGCCGTGTGTGCAAAGCTGCAGCCATGTTTGTCTGAAGGCACTTAACATTTCTGTTTTACTTGTGTAACAAAGCCACATGCCGCTTCTTCTGCCAGGATGTCTCATAATAGTAAAGATAGTTATCTAGTAGAAGGCATAGAAATTATTAAGTTCACAGTTACTCTAGAGTGTGGCGTAGTGAGTACTGGGATGCTGTAGATGATTTCTTTAAAGTGTCCAGGGCCCTAATGTTACAGTGATGATGATGAGGTTGCCCTCTCAGGTTCAGTCCCACTGAGTCACCTTGCTGCACCCATGTAGTCTCTCAGAATCTACCACCCTCAATGTATAGTAACTGAGTGACATGATACATGAAGAAAGCTGAGCAAAAGACCTGGTACATAGTAAAGTTTGGTAATTATTTTACTTGCTTACTACTTTTCACTGTCAAACTGAAAATATTTTAAGAAAAAATAGATTCATCCTGTAGTTTCAGATTTATTTGCCTGGTCACACCAAGTTCATTCACTCACTAATATTTATTAAAGCCCAAATGTAACAGCTAACAATATATAAAATTAAAATCAAGTTGAAAGAAATTCTGAGTTTCCAGTAGACTGGACTGCTTGTCCTCTAAGATTGGCCTGGCTTTACTTTTAAGGACTTAGGAAGCTATAAGAGGGCTGCAGTGTGATATAAAATCCTAATAGATCTTTACGACGCACAACCTACTGTTATGTCATTCTTCACAACTGCCTCATGTGGCAAAGAGTAAATTACAAGGGGCAAGCCAGATGTGGGGTCCTGTACTCCCAGTACTCTGGAGACAGAATCATAAGGACCCTGCAAGTTGGAATGCAGCCTGGTCTGAGAAGTGAGTCTCAGGGTTGTAGAGTGAGGCCTGCTCTGGAAAAGTAACAAACAAACAACAATAACAAATTATAAAGGACAGTCCCAAAATGTGTCTAGGCAGGAACTGGCTGTTTAAGGTGAGGTAAGAATTTGAAGCATTTCACATTACATGTTAATTCTGGGAGCATACCTACACTTTTACCTCGTGGGATCTACTTCCACCTGAAATGCCTGAAACCTATAAAGAAATTGTGATTCCATTGCTGTGATTCAAAATTTACTGACCAATTAATGAAAAATTTCAATAAGCATGTTTTTTTTTTTTTACTGCACAGTCATGTAAAATGGTTACAATGTGGTAGCATAAAAATCCCAAATAACCTCATCTAGTGGTGCAACTGCTTTGCCATTATCATTCAATATCCATGAAATAAGGAAGAGTTTTGAAAATGATGGTTGTGTAACCTTCAGTAAGTCAGTTTGTTTCCTGGATAAAGCAATTGCTTCATTTTCTCTTAGATTCGAAATAAAATGATAGATGGAGAAAGTGGAGAAAAAACATTCAGAACTCTGGTCAAATCTCAAGATGAGGTAAGAATTAATGAAGCCTTGTTCGTGAGTGAAAGCATGCATTCAGAATAGGGATGCTAGTGGTGTGACATGCCTTTCTGCATTTATTTATGGAGCGGGGATAACTCTGCTGAGCATTTTTTCATACAGTAAAAAAAAAAATACTGTGTTAATTCACTAGAGAAATGGCACAGGATATAAGAGTACTTGCCTCTTTGCTGTGAGGTCTGGAGTTCAGATCCCAGAGACCCTGTTGGCAGGCTCTGTTGCCTGTACTCCAATTTCAAGAGCATTGGTGCCCTCTTCTGAATTCTGCAGGCATGTTCACACATGTACACACACTCACACAGAGACACATACACAAAATCATAAATAAATAAAGGGTTGTAAAAGCTATATTCTTAAAATTACACGTTGCATCTATGTGGTTTATTTTAAGAAACAGATTTCTTTGGGCCAGGGAAGCTGTAGTATTGAATTAATATATGTTATATTGTATTATGTGTGTACATAAATGTTCTAGAGATTGTGTTCTGAATGATTTAGCTAGTTTTACTTTTTAACCCCTCTGTACCTGTGGTACTCATGCTTCTTAGTGCTACAACTCTTTAGTACAGTTGTGGCGATGCCCATCTGTAAAATTATATCAAGGCTGCTTCATAACTATAATTTTGTTACTATTATGAACCTAATGTAAATTTCTGATATGCACGAAATATGGTAAGTTACCCTGTGCGGGGTCGTGACTCACAGACTGAGAACTGCTGTACATGTCACATGATAACACAGCCACCCTCATCATTCACTGGTATATATAATAAGTTGATACTGCTTCAGGTGTGAGAATACATGGATTTTGTATGTGAGGATATTCTTCTGTCCATTATCAGTCATTTGTGGAGTAAAAACTGACATCCGCATACCTGAATGTTCAAAATTACATAAGATTAGGAAGTTTTTGTGCCTCTAAGTTTAATTGCAGCTTTCTAATACAATTTGTACTCTTTATCCAAAATCCTGTATGTTTTAGGAACATAATTTTTCTCCCTAATTTCTTGACAGCTCTTATCCTAAAGGAGATATATGATCTAAATATTTTTAATAGCACACATCATTTATTTTGATGTAATTACAAGTGGCTATTACCAGAACGGAAAAGGAGGTATTACAATTTTCATTTTTATTGAAATAACAACTCTGTAGCTTCACTGTGGCCATGGTCTTGACTCTTTGCTCCCTAAAGCAAGGGTGTAAAGTATTTAACAGATCTGCCAAATCCTGTGTCATTCCAAGATATCTGACCTCCGCATTTTTTTATGCAGCTTACAACTCATTTCACATTGCTACTTACTTGCCTCTTCCAGTTCACTGTCCATTCATCTTAGAGCTGTACTCACCAATGAACTACACTTGTCTGTCTTAGAAACTTTATTTTTTCTCTTAAATGTACACATGTACATAAACAAATATAGACAGCTATATTTGTTCATTATTAATTAAATATCACTACTCTCATTTGATCTGTTTGTATATTTCAAGAAACTTTATTATTTACTTTGAGTGGTCATGGCTTTTTGGTATTATCAGGTTTATAAAAATACCAAAACAATTCTATGAATTACTATTTTTCATTATTTTGTTTACCTTTTATTGAAAATATTTTCTTGCATAATAATTATTCTGATTATGAGTGCCTATCCGTCCACTCTTCCCAGTTCCTCACAGACCTTCCATCTGGATCTACCAACTTTTTGTCCTTCATTATAAAACAAACAGGCTTCTAAGGAATATTAATATAATAAAATAATATAATGAAATCAAACAAAAACTGATTTTAAAATGATATCATCGAGGACATTGGATCTGTGTTTGCTTTATGCAAAGTTTGGCAGGAATATTTAAGTCATGATAATGACTTTTAAAGTAAAATGTTTTTAGTTTGGTTTTCTTCAAACTATCAGAAGCCCTTGGACAGAAATCATGTAATTGTGAAGCCCAATGTTTCTTATAATAAATAATTTAAATTTTCTTTATACCATTTTTCTCATCTATGAGATCGGAGAGTTGAATATTATCATGTATCAACACTGGGTGGCAGGTCATTTTATCATGTGAACTGGTGAACTGTTTCCCAGAGAGAATCTTGGGCTTTACTCATCACATTACAAAATACCTGCTTCAAACTTATTTGTAGGGATTTTTCATAGTCATCTCGATCAGAAATACAGGAATACAATTGTTCTTTAATAAGGCAAATGTGCAGAATAAGTGAGAAATTAAAAAAAGAAATTTACAGCTACATGTATGAAATTAATATACTTAGAAGAAAGAATGAGTGTGTATTTACTATTGCTCTTGACACAGGAGATATAGTACATCTGTGAACTAATTAACTCTGCACTTTGCTGATTGAATATAGGTGTTTTTCTAACCTTCAATTGTATAGCAACATGATTGTTCCACAAAATGAATCTTTGAGATGGGAATTGTACTTTTATATGTAGAAATGCTAATATATTTTCCTCATCATATCAGCTATCATTCTTAAATATACTCTACTATGGTTGATATTTGAACCTTGTTTAATATTCTATAGTCCCATTTTATTATTAAATGTGCTTTTAATTAAATCTTTTAAAGTTTTGAAGAAAGTACTCTGTTATCAAATACTGAGCTTTTATGCTTCTAAGTCCCCAACTTATATCATTTGAGTATTCAGTTCTGATCCAAAATTTTATTTGACAGGTATGCACTTCAAAATTTTTAAAATGTGCAAAAGAAATATGTCATTTTACTTATGAAAAAAGGATGTTGAATGACTACCACTTTCCAGATGGACATATTTTTTACTCTTTCTATAAATTCATATGGATGGGAGGCTGCAATGACCATGTTTAACTTTCTTTCTAGAGATATATTGACAAAGGAAATCGAACATACACATGGACACCTGTCAATGGCACAGATTACAGGTACATTTACAATTGTCTCGTATAAAGGACTGTAGATTCAATTAACCTTTTTTTTCAAATATTTGGTATCCAATTTTCAATAGACTAGTATGAAATCTTAATTTTAGTTTATTATTTTCAGTGGAAGTTTCAACAGAAAAATTACTCCCTCCAGCACAAAAATGAGGGTCTGATTTTCAGCTTGCAAAATATGGAAAGTAGCTAGCAATGTAATATTTAGAAATGATAACTATACTTAATGACAGTAGTAATAAAGATTGATATAATAGCCATAATTTATACGTATGACATCTATTGACTTTCTCTTTTATTTCCATTTAGCCCAGTTATTTTCTTTAATGTTGTAACTTAGCTAAAAAATAATAGTGTGCTTTTTTCATCATTATATGTGATATAAAATAACCTTAGCACTACTGAACAGTTCAATGATGTCTGGACCCCTCCAATTTTCTATATATCAGAACCTACAAAGCCCAATATTCAAAAATCTGAAGACTCCCTCCTTTCTTCAATTTCTCTGTATCTCTGTCTGTCTCTGTCTCTGTCTGTCTCTGTCTCTCTCTGTCTCTCTCTCTGTCTGTCTCTATTTCTCTCTCTCCCTCTCTCTCTCTCTCTCTTTCTGTTTTGTTTCTCAAGTCAGGGTTTCTCTGTGCAGCCCCAGATGTCCTGAAATTCACTTTGAAAATCAGTCTGGCCACAAACTCAGAGATCTGCCTGCCTCTGCCTCCTGGGTGCTGGGATTAACTGTGTATGCCACCACCTCCAGCTCTCTTCCCTTTAATCTTCTCAGGTCTTCCTGCTTTGTCTTTGGTCCTTTGTTTCTACATCCTTAGAAAAGAAAAAAATTTTGTGTAGCTTAAATTTTAATTGGTCTTAGTAATAAAAATCTGGAGTAAAATATTGAAGAACTGTATGTACTGTGGAATAATAAAGAACATTTTGCTCTTGGAAATAGTGTGGAGACTTACTGTGGAATATGAATGAGCCATCTACACACAAAGAAGAGAGGACCACCTCTGTTTTGTTGGCTCTCACCTTCCACCTCACTTGAGACAGGTTTTCTCATCCTTTATTGCACATGCCAGACAAGCAGACCACAATCATCTGAAGACTTTTGTCTCTGCTTGCCATCTTATCTTACTACTCATTCTCTCATCTTGGAAATTTATACTTCTGAATTTCCTGTCATCAAACCATACCTACCATCCAACTTTCCTTCACTGTAATAGTCTCTCCCATTCTTCCAATATAGACTATTTTCACTCCCCTACATTCACAGAGATCCACATTCTGTGGCCACTATTTAAACCTATCCATATGGGTAAAATAAAACAGGATGTATTTGCTAAAATAAATCTTAAAATACACAAAAACTCAATTTTTTATCACTGTATTCTACAGACTTAGAGTTATTCTATCAAGTCTATCAAAGCTTTAGATTCCTAATCCTACTGTTCTCAGTCAATACTAGGTTCTGAATTTACTGTTCAAATATCCAAATGACAACCTCTGGTTAAGACTTACTTCTCCTCAAAGATATTAATAGCTCACTGCTTCAAGGCCTTTGTTCCTGATCACTTCAAATTAAGGTTATTTCCCAATATTGAGCCTCCTGTCTATATACATATTTAAATACTGCATTACTACCAGGTAGCTCACCCAAAACTCACTTAGGTTTGCACACACACGGGTGTATGTGATGCTTATAGAAAGGCATTTAATTCTGTTGGTTACCATTTCTAAGAGGGTAGGTCTAAGAGGGTAGACATGGGTTCTACTCCATTTGTCTCTGACTCCCATGTTCAACACAGAGGCACATAGAAGGTACTTTTTAAATGTTTATAAAATTGAAGAATCTCATTGTAAAGAAGTAATTTTTAACTTGAAGAAACTTGAAATCTGTTTTACCTTGTTGAATTCAGAAAATTATACCCCAAAATTTCTGTCATAATTTTCTCATGTGTCCTTTGATTATGTACTTATCACTAATGGACAGGAATCTTAATTTGTTGTGTCAGACTCAGCTATATCTTTTCATTGTTGATGTTGTTGTCTTTGTTTTGCAACTCCTCAATTCATTAATGCCATACACATAATCTCTTAGGGAAATCTTGAGTGCTAGAGATGTCTGAAAGCTACAATGTTGTTATCATAGGAACATATCTCCTTTTATTCTTGGGATGACAAATAGAATGTAGAAGAAGAAAATCCAATGCTAATGTCTTGACATATTATATCCAAGTCCTTTCTGCTTATCTTAGTTATATTTTAGGACATTGAAAAATATCAGAAGTACCATTTTTTATTATTTTATTCATTTTTATATAATGAGTAGATTGTAATATCTAACTTTCTTCTAGACATCTCTTTACATTTGCATGATGTTCATGAATAATTACAAGTAATGGTTTTCCTCATTTATTTTGATTATTACCATCCTTCAATTTTTGAACAAACCTATAAAAGCCTATGAAGGTATAGGACAAAGGGATTCCCTGTCTATTAAGAAGTAGAGTCATTATAAAACAAAAAATTGCTGAGCAGTAGTAATGTATGCCTTTGATCCCAGCACTCATGAGGTTGAGGCAGTCAATTTTCTATGAGTTCAGGTTTCAAGGCCAGACTGGTCCACATAGCTCCAGGACAATATGGGCTACAAAGAGAAACGATGTCTCAAAAAAACATGCAAATTAACTAACTAACTAATAAATAAAAATAAAGCAAAGTATTGGTTGCATTGTACGGAAATATGGTTCCTGCCTTTGTTGCTCAGATAAGCAAAATGGAAACACAGTCTTTTTGAACACAACAATGAATCAGCTATGAAAATTGCTTTTTACTTCAGTTGAAAGACTACCTTTGTCGTGACCTTAGTTTTGGGATCTTGTTATGTTTTTAGTTCCCTAAGTGTGTTTTAATTGAATTTACCACCCCCACAACTCCTCTCAGATACGTCCCTGCCTCCCATACCACCCAAATACATGCCTTTTTCAAAAAATAATCCTGTCAAGTCTAATGTCTGCTGCCTGTTTATTTTTGGATGTATAACCTTCCACTGAAGTGTGTTAGTCTTACTTAGGTCCACACCCTTAGAATATGCACCCTTACTTTTTCCAGCAATCAATATCTAAAAACTCTGATCTAAGCCTGAGGTTTTGTGCTCACCTCCCTTCTTGATGCTGGGATTTGGTCTGGATTGAGCTTGCACAGTTCTTGTGCATGCTGTGTAACAACTCTAAGTTAATATATGCTGCTCTACCTAGAACACACATTCCTCTTGCAGTCATCCACCACCGATGGCTCTCACTTCTTGCTCCACTGCAGTGATCTCTGGGCTGTAATATGTAATATAGAAATCCCATTTACTGCTGAACATTCTGAATTTGATTTCTCTACATCACAGTCACTTGTGGGTCTCTGTGCTAATCACCATCAAATGTAAATAGAGGCTTCTCTGTTTAGAGTTGAGAGATGCATTAATCTATGGGCACAATGAAAAGTCACTAGTAGTTGGTTTAATCCTTCATGCATTTAACAGAATAGTAATTAGTAATAGGGATCCCCTTGGGCCTATGATCTGCTTATCCATAGGTTGTTGGCCAAAAAATGGTGCCAGGTGTAGATTTCATCTTGTAGAGTCAACTGTATACCCTATCAGAAAGTGGTTCCAGGTTGTTCATGCCACCATTACATAAATGGGACAGTCTTGCCAGGCCAATCATTACTATAGCTCACAATGTTCACAAGTGGAAATGAATTTGTAATAGACTCACAAAACTCCTCTCCACTCAGACTCTTTCCTTTAAACATGCAGGAACAATGTATATAGTATGAGTAATTTTCTTCCTCAAGCTCAGTGTCACTCTTTGCTGACAAAATTTCCTATTAGGACTATTATAGATGATATTGGCTCCACCCATTTCTACCACAGCCTATCTGCTGCTATCTTGCTGTTTTTGTCACCACACAGGTGACAGGAAGAAGCCATAATGTTGCATGCTTTCCACCATGGTCCATGACTAAGTCTCTAACTTTGGCCTCAATTACATGTATGTCCTAATATCTGGGCAGATAATTCAAAATAGCTAACAAATATTATGTTCTGCCTAAAGATGGATGATTTGATTAAATGAGTGAAATACCACTTTCAGACACAGGAGTTTCTGTTTTCTTAAACTTTGATCCAACTTAGGTAACACATTTTAAAATGTAAATAATGACTTCTTTTACTAAATCTCTTTTTTCAAAGAGATTGACTTTGATGGGAATAAATGATTTGAGAAAAAAAACTGTTATAGTCCATTTAATTCAGTAAACTAGGTTTATGTGAACCACAAAATATTACCTGGACTTTATCATCCATCTAGTGTCACTTGCTTTATTAAACTGTAATCTCTGAGAAGAATCAAGAAGCTGTGTTGTATCAGGTTCATATTATAAGATCAAACAGCCCTTGCATAGGAAAGCATCATTACCTTGGAATGTTGATAAAGATCGTATCTGCAGTATGTGGAAGAAACAACAGTTGGATTGACTTGCAAACAGATAGAACTATTGTTCTAAAGAATGACTTGTGACTATGAGTAACAATATCTGTCTTGGCTAACACAACATATATTTAATATGCCAATTTTGGAGCTTTCATTGGTATCCTCATGGGTTGCTATACTACTTTTGGTGGAGCATAACATGTGACTCAGAGACACTGGAGCAGTGGGAGGATGTGGTGTTATCAGTTTTAATTAGAAGATTTTGATGGTGATAAATGCTGAAGGAGCAATAAAAATGCCTTAATTCCCCCTGAGAGAAATTTGGAGGAGGTGGTTTTCAAATACTCAGTAATTCTGTTCTTTTATTAATGGCAGGTGAATCATGAAAGGTCATCTTGTTTTCAGAATGATTATATTGCTTATTTTAATTTTAATCCCTGCCTCCCCTTGATGTTACCTATAAAATGAATGTAGAAATGTTCATTAACTCTACATAACATTTTATTTCCCTGACCTTCTCCTATAAGCAATGACTGTGGTGGAAGCTTTGGAAACTGAGGTTGACAAGCAACCACCAATTTTTGCCATCTTTATTGAAGAATTAAATTTCAGAAAGTAAACCCTTGCTTGCACTTGAACATTTGTACAGGGGAATTTTAACATTTCTACTCATAATAAGATAAGCCTGATTTTTTTTTTAATTTTTGTTTCATTATATATTGTCAATCAATAACATGCAATGAAATAATACTTTGGATTTCTATTCCCATATCTGGGTATGCGAGGGGGAGGGTAGGATGACTTAAAGGATTTACACGTGCTTTACAATATTCCAATTCCTAGAAAGGAAGATATTTTCTGGTGTTTCACTAATATCTGTGGTAATGTTAAGAGGCATGTTAGCCATGTTAACTTTGTATATGGTTTCACAGACCATTTTAGAAATGGTCATTTCTTGCATCTAAGACTCACTGTATTCCTTATACATTCAAAGCATATCAAAGCTCATTTGTTTTGGGAAATGTAGATAAACAATCATTTCTGTGTCTTACATGTATATATTAGCTGAAGGAAGAAAGGGAGTTTACTTCTGACTACTGCCTAAACTTAATTAAAAGCTCAAATACATTCATCGGGTATTCTATAAATTAGAAATTTCTAAAAAAGAAAAAAAAAAAAAAAAAGAAAAGAAAAGAAAAAAAAAAGTAAGGTTACCTATCCTGCAGCTTCTTGTGAGCCATTGTTCAAACAAGGTGGGTGGCAGTCTTGCCTAACATTCTTTGTGTCTAAAGCATTCTGAAGTTTGCCTAAGATTACAGTGGAACTGTTCTTTGGTTAGGACATCGACCATTAGACTACATAAGCCTCCAGACTCTTGAAAACTACTAAACTCAAGAAATGTTTCCTCTTTAATAACAGAGTGTTCAATCGCGTGGCATGTCCACAGTAAATCATTTGCACAGTGAGTTGTACAAATGAGTACAAATGAATCAAACAGTCTCTATAAAGGGTCAGAGCTTGTCCACATGAGGACACTGGGGATTTTGCCACAGGACCAGAAAAACAGTGAGAATTGAAACCTTCTAAACTGTGATATCTTTGTGCATTGTGAAGTAGTAGCAATGGCTATTCTTTCATTTTTAATTGTGATTGGTTCAAAGCATTCAAAACTATGTATAATAAAAAGGGTGTATCCAGCTGGTATGATATTTACTTTGTTTAAATTTAAACTCTATTTTCTTTCTTCTTTCTTTCTTTCTTTCTTTCTTTCTTTTTTGTTCACAATCTCGGGTACATAATTAAACTATCTGGAAATATATCAGGGATCTAAGGCATTGATCGTCAGCTATTTTATGGCTACATTATATAGCCTTTTAATTCCCTGCCCTGTAGAGAGCAGGATGGTACAGTTTAGCAAGGTAGAGATTAAGAATTCTATCTGTTGAATGCATTTTCTTGTCAAAGTAACATGTCCTCTCCTTCGCATGAGGAACATCTTCAGATTTTCCCATGAACTTGACGTCTTTTTTTTTTTTAAAGTTATGTTTCATTTTTGTTTGTTTGTGTTTATGCTTCTCTTGTTTCTATTGCAGTTTGGCCTTGGTATTGCCAACCTACAGTTTTTACTATATAAAAGCCAAAATAGAAGAGACAATAACTCAGGCCAGATGTAAGTACTGTGAAAGCAACTTCAGGATCTACTTGTTATCTCCGAGTGCAGATGTTTATATCTAGATTTTGGAATGCCCAAGGCGTACACATTATAGGAGGTATCATTATAAAATCTACAGCAATGATTCTAACCCATTCCAAACATGCAAGGAACAAGAATATTCTACTTGGATAGAATATGAGCAGGCACTCCAACCTCACTGGCAGTCCCGCTGCCCTCCCCTGCCTTGCTATGTGCTCAGAGAATCATTGCAGTGCTGTGTCCTCTGTGCCTGTCGTTTTAAGGGTCTGTGAGCTGGTGTGAAATGTTTCACATGCTGCTACCAACATGCTCTCTGCTCGTGGTTCTGTGCTAGCAAAGCTTTTCCTTTACTTATCTTTCCTTTTCTTTTCTTTCTTTCATTCTTTTATTTTTTTTGTTCGTTTTGGTTTTTTTTTTTTTATTTTTTATTTTTTTGCATTTGGCCAAAATAATGTTGTGCTTGGCAGTTAGCTTTCTTTTTATAATCCAAATTAATGTCTTAGTCACTCAAGTAAATTCACTTTTATGCATCCTTTGGAATGTGGAGTAAATAACACCAATGCCTATTTCAAGACATTTTAAAGTTTTATTTTGTTTTTGATGGCTAGATTTAGTGAAACAAAATGACCATCATATCCTTTGTTCACCACTCAATGGTTACTGGCAACTTAAATTATATATATCTTTTCCCAGTTCCCATCTTTTCTCAGTCTGCCCTTTTGCTCTTTGCAGCAGTGGTAGACACTACTACTGTATTGTGGAAGATTAAAGTATACATTTGCACTTTCACTTGATAGGTATGATGGTCTTTTAACAATCAGCAATCTTGCATGAGCTAGTTTTTTATGTGATAAAGGAGGGGATACTTAGTGAGTGTGCTCATCGGTAAGTGCTTCTGTTCAGAGCTGGCATCACTGATACTGAACCTATATCAGCCACTTTGCAAAAGCAGACCCTTGAAATAAGCACAGTACAGAGAGGGAACAAAAGAAAAATTGACAGAACATAACTTCCAGTCTTCAAAAATGCCTGTTTTTCTCCCCAAACTACAGCTGTACATAAATGGACCTTTGATCTATGCACAATATTTTTATTCACAGTTATTGAATAAAATATTGTTTGTGACCCCTTTACTTTACCCTCTTTGTTTTTTTTGTTTCCCTGCTTTCTCTTTCTGATGGATTTACAGCAAAAAAGGGAAAAATGAAGGGCAAGTATTTTCTTGTTGCTCAATTTCTTTCTGTTTAGTACACAGCATTTTCACTAATATTTTCATTCCTACTGGATATTATCCTCTGTGCTTCACATTGGCTAGAATTTCCTCCATGACTACCCGAAAGTCAGCAACAGAACAGGGCAGGTGTGCCTATGTTTGCTCAGGCAACCTGTCATGCTCAAGTTGGTTATATTTTTTTAGAGTTAATATCATGTTTCTTTTTACATCTTTCCACCTACTAATTCTTACCTAATATAGAGATTCTTATTACTTCTCCAAATGCATGAATGAGTTCAAAGTATTTAATCATAATGTTAATAAATGTCATTGATATTTTAAATAATATACTTGCTATCCTATGTGTATAGTATGTTAAGATTCTTAAGTATATTAGAACTAGTAAATAGAAAAGCATAAATAGCATTTTGTATGTAATTATTGCTGTAATTACCTAGTGAAACTTACCTATGCTATAATCTTGGAATAAGAGAGAATTATATTGAGAATCTTGACAGTTAATTTGTTTCAAGTTTAAGATGTAAATAGTCTGCTTAAAGTTTTCTTAGTAGGGACTCTTTACAATGCCTTCATGCTGTCCTACACCCTTGAAGCATATGCTCTTTATTGTTAATCTAATCTTATATCATTACATTTTCAGATTCAGAAACCCTGAAGCCAGACAATTTTGAAGAATCTGGCTATACCTTCATAGCACCAAGGTTGGTTTGTTGTTCTGATTTCCTCTGTAATAACTCATATTATTGGCTATGTCTTTCAGGAAAAAAAAGTTTTTAATTGGGGTCAAGATTATTCTAAGTTAATTACGTGTTCAATTATGAAAACAAAGAGACTATGATTTTTAAGCTTTCAAAATCCTTTTTCTTCATTCAAATAACTGTTGTTTGTTTAAATACTGGTGGAGCAATTGATAAAGATGGAGCAGTATGATACCTCACGTGCTCAATGGCACATAGAACAGAGGAGTGTTGGTCTTCTGTAATAATGGAGTATTGTCTTCTGGAGGTTGAATAGCATATACATATAAGCACAAAGGAAGTCCACATATACATATAATTACTTCGGGCACATACACAGACACAGGCATACATATGCATAAGCTCACACACTTAAATATGAACTGTTTTAATATCATAATTGTAATTTTTACATACTCAACACAAATTTCTGGATGACAAGTATTTACTGAAGAATAATTTTTTATTATATTTATATATAGAAAACTCAGCAGTATATATGATACATGCTACCCAGTTTGCTTGTCAGTTTTTGGCCTTTGCCTTTAGAAGCTTGAGAATGCCACCCATTAATTTTGGACCCAGGGCATTATCTCCCCCAGATTGTTGTATCTGTCATTGATATTGGTCCTGATTGCTTTTACTAGCTTAACCAGAACCCATTTGTCTGCTGAGTTCCCTGTGTGAGGCAATGGCACTGCTTGTATTCCTGTGCACCAGCTGCCCTACCCTGGCCTTGGAGGATGCAGGTGTATTCCTGCTGCCATAGACTAGCCTTGGATAATGCAGTAGTGGACTCCTGCCTTGCAACACAGCAGAGAGGAAAATCACCATCCTAACGGGGTTTACATAATGGGCAACCAATGGCAACTGAGCTTGTCCTCCACAAACTAGTTTCAGTATTGGCCCCATCAAAGAACAAGTGGTCTCTGTAGAGGCATTGCCTTTGGCAGCAGCTTTCTTCTCAGTGTAAATTCACAGCCTCTGTTTCTTCTGCCTCTTTGTCTGTGGCCTGTAATGTGGGCAGCCTTAAGCAAACAGGAAGCTGAAAGTCTAGGGGCATAGTGAACTTCAGGTGTTTGAATGTTCATAGAGGATAGGCCTTTGGAGGGGAGTCTGGTATATTAAGGCCATTGATAACGTGGATGAGTCTCTTTGGTGCTGGATGTCCAATACCAAAGTTCAGAGGCCTTTTTCTGAAACAAGATTCACCACCACTTTGTCCTACTTCTTCACGGCAGTAGAGGTCAGAATCACCTTCTTCTCTTGTGTTGTTTTCATTTTGGTGTCAGCTGGAGGAGCAGAAAATATAGTGCCTCGTGTGTGTGTGTGTGTGTGTGTGTGTGTGTGTGTGTGTGTGTGATATGTGTGTGTGTCATACAATGTGTGTGTCATTTACGTGTGTGTTTGCATGTAGGTGTGTAAGTAGGTGTGCACATAGAGCCAAATATCCTTTTTCACTATGGATCTCTACCTTGTTCCCTAGAGACAGGGCCTTTCACTAATTCTGAACCTTTCAAATCCAGCTTGACTGGATAATTAGGAAGTTCCTAGAATCTGTCTATCACTTTCTTCCAACTCTGAGATTCCAAGTATGCTTGCTGATGCCCAACCTTATCCCCTAATTTTCATATGAACATATCTTACTAGCCAATTTTGTTTCTCTCATGTAATCACTATCCATAATGCACATTTTATTCCACCTCTATTTGAATATTTGAAACTATTAAAGTCTTTATTTTTATTCTTTTTTTCTTATTTTGGGTCCTTGTCTTTACTAGACAGTGTACAGTATCAAATTAAATACATTTCCTATTAATCTAGGATAAATTATCTAAGAAAATGGAGGGAGATCATTCTATTATGTTTTCAGTTGCACTTTGTTGAAAAAAAATTTTGAAGAAAGATATTCATAGTTAATCCTTTATTTTTCCGTATAGAAAATACTAAATTCTGCTTCTTCCAAAATTGGTAGTATTTGTAACACTTTGAAAAACCACAGTTAAGAAAGTTCATCCTTGGCTTTGAGAGAGTCCCCCTCATTGTGCTGTGGATGGGGCTGGCTATCTCCTCCTTCCTTTTTGCTTCTCTCCCATGTTATACTGTTCGAATTGTCTTAGCCTTGTACAGTTGCAGATGCAGGATTTTCCCAGGATATTCATTTTTTCCCACCCAGAGAAGTTGCTGAGAACTATGCTTACCTAGGTTCTCTCCTTATGTGACTCCATCTTCAGGCCACAACCCATGCATTAATTCCTCACTTACAAGTTGGAATGATGTCTCCCAAGTCTATCATGATGGTTCTAACTGCTAGAAACAACAGATGCAAGTGGCCTGTTAACATTGCAATAGAGAATCAAACAGATCTCCTTCCAGACTTTGTCCACCCTCATATTTCCTCATAAGACATTCATGTGTCATGAAGGCCTAACAGAATGTTTCTTCAATGTGCTTCCAATTCAGTGTCTTGTAAATATTTGTCACACTTGGAAAGCTCTTCTTGTGTTGCTTTTAAGAGGGAAATAGTATTCTTCCAATATACAATGTACAATGAGACATCACAGTTGTCCTGATATGCTCCCATTTGCTGATCTTACTGATAATTGGTCCTTGAGTCTTGCCAGGTCTATCTGAGTACCTATGTACATTTCTGTTGCTCTCCAGCTATTTTGTCTTAGTGCAGGCCAAAGCCTTTTTGTGCCTACAGGTGTATCTGAGTGGTTCTCACATTTCATCCATTTGCCCCTGCTCTCCAACCCTGTTTCTATTCTGTGACTAAAGAGTTTTTAAACTGTGAAGGCATCTTTCTCAAGTGCTACTTACTAACTAGTGGCTGTGTGGTGTTATAGTGATAACTATGGGCTGTATTCCACAGCTTTCAAGTGCTCTGTTATAGGAATTCACATTCTGTTGTGGTTCCCTTTGCTAGGAACTGGGAGCCTGCAGACTGACTGCCTGTTCACTGAAGTAGAGAAGGTCTCATTTTCTCATGTACTGTTTCTGGTGGCTATAATGTCTGTTCTAGTTTTGGTTTTCTGTTGTCATCATAAAGCATTCTGCTCAGAAGCAACTTAGGAGAGGAATGGGTTTATTTAGATTACAATTCCAAGTTATAGTCCATTATTGAGGGAATAATGGGCAGGAATTCACACTGCATCTTGACAGAGAAACCAAAAAGGAGCATTGCTTGGTTGCTAGCTCACAAGGGCTTTTTTATCTAACTATCTACTACTTGCCCACGGAGTGGTTGCATCCACAATGGGATAACCCTTCCAGCATAAGTTAAGGATCAAAACAGAAATCCACAGAGATAGCCACAGGCCAAACTGATGATGCAATCCCTGAACTGAGATTTCCTTCTCACGTGACTCTAGTCCTTGTCAAGAAGAGAGTTAGTGAATGCTTAGTAGGACACTGTCTATGGGCTACTACAGAAGTAGATTGACTAATTCTAGCACAGACTTCAGGGTCCTCAGAGTATGAATCACTGGCTGTGTTGCCCTGTTTTCAAAGGTTTCCCCATGCCTATTTTTTTCCACTTAACTCTCTTTTTCATTTTTTCACTGTATATATACAAACCCCACTAAATCCAAAACCTCAGCATCAGCTTGGGGAATTCCAGCCATTCCTTTATTACGTTTCCTGCTGATTGCTTCATACAATTCTTCATTTTCCTTACCAAAGATTTAGTCACTTTTCATTTATTCAGTTTACTTCACAGAACCACTATGCATCCATTTAAATTACTATTCGACATTCAGTACTGAATCCTTTGTCCTTTACACTGTAGAGCTGAATAAATACTTGATAACTGGAGAATCTAAGGATATGTGAATATCATTTTTTAAAAACACGATTAACCATAGTAACTGTGTTCATGTATGTGTGTGCATATATACACACATACAGAGATGAGAATTCAGCCTTGGGGAATGTTGCTCCTTGAAGGCCATCCGTCTTAGATTTTTTAAGACAGACTCACATTTGGTTTGCAATTTGGCCAATTAGGTCAGGCTTGTTGACCAGGAAGCCCCAAGGATCCATCAGTTTCCCCTTCTTGTCATCACTCTTGAAATGTTTATGTAGGTTCTGGAAAGCTAACTCAGATCTTCACACCTGCATTATTTACCCATCTAATTTGCTTTTTGATGCTCTGATAAAATGCCATGCCCAAAAGCAACTTAGAGAAAGAAGGGAGTTATTTTGATTATGTTTCCACACCACAGTCCATCTTTGAAGGAAGTCAGAACAAGAGTTCAAGAAAAGCCCTAAAGTCAGTTACTGAATCGGAGGTCATAAGGGTCGCTGTATACTGGCTTCCTTTCTGTGACTCCTCAGCTTGCTCTCTTATATAACCCAAGACCACCTGCCCAAGGGTGACACTTCCCACAGTGGACTGAGCCCTCAACATTGATGATTAATTAAGAAAATGTACCACAGACATGCCCAGACCATCTGACAGAGGGAACTCTTCAAGTGAAGTTTCCTCTTCCCAAGTGATTCTAGTTTGTGTGAAGTTGACACAGACTAGATAACATAATTTAACCCTTGTCACCATGACACAAATTCATGGTTATTAAACCACAGTCTTCCCTTTATTGTTTATCCCTAAGCTCTCACATTAATAAAAATATAAAAGATAGTATATCTTTAAAAGTTATACTATCTTAAAAATTTAATCACTTGGAAGTCCAAGATTTCTACAAAACTCCAACTATCTCATAATTGTGTGCTTTGGTAAAGTCAAAACCCAAATTCATACTTTATTCTTCTAAGAGGGGAGATTCTGAGCACAATTAAAATTAGATGAAAGCAAAAACAATATCTAGAAGTGCAAATCAAGCCCTGTAGTTCAGTGTTCATTATCTTGGACTCACTCAAGTTCTTCTGGGATTCAAAGAACTTGGGCAATCCCACCTCTCTGGCTCAGCCACCTATAGCACACATATCTTACCTGGTTGGCTCAGGCCAGCTCAACTCCACACCTTTTACCATCCTGGCAATCATGCTATGTCATGACATCTCCAATATACTATATTCTCTACCATATCTATGATTGTACCTTTATCAGTGGCCTTGAATCGGCAGGGGTTCCAACCCTATCACATGACATCAAGGCTCAGCTTTTTCCATGGTCCTTCCAGATTTAAGCATCAAACCTCTACTGAAGCTCCACTTTCACCAATGGTCTCTGCCAGTATCTCTTCAGAGTGTCACCATCTCTGATCATAGTCCCGAGCCCCAGATTCTCCCCATGAACCTCTTGTGCCTGCAAACACACTACCATGTGGTTGACTCATATCAGTTGCTAAATTTGTTTGTCAGCTTGAGATACGGCTTTGCCCCTGCTGGACAACAGCTTCTTTATTCTGTCCCTATGGAAATATTTCCTGGAAAATTTTGCTTCAATTATGTTAGTCTCCTATTAATAATAGACGATTCTCCATCCGTAGTATCAACTGTACCAGTAACAAAAGGTTTCACTTCTAGGGATTTTTTTTTTTAAGATTTAATTTTACTTATGTAAATGAGTCTTTCCCCTGCATGTAGTTATGTGCACTGTGTGCATGCCTGTTGTCCTCAAAGGCCAAAGGAGGGTGCTGGATCCCCTGGAACTAGAGTTACAGATTGTTATAATCTGCTAAATGGGTCCTTAGCTGAATCTATGTGCTCTTCAAGAACAGTAAGTGCTCTGTCCTAGTCACTTCTATGACATGATCATAAGCAAAATTCTATGAAAGAAAGCATTTAATTGGGAAATTTCTTACAGTTTCTGGAGGTGAGACCATTATGAACACCACGGGAGCATGGTGACATGAACGGTACTGGGGCAGTACTGAGAACTTGAGAAGTGCCTTTGAGACAGATAGACAAGGAATGTGACACACTCTGAATCTGGTGTGAGCTTTTGAGACCTCCCAGTCCACTCCCAGTCACACACCTACTTCAACAAGGACATACCTCCTAATTCTTTTCAAACAGTACCACTTTGGTGTCTGGGATTTCAATATATGAGCTTATTGGGGGCATTCTTACTGAAACTACCACTTTCTCACAAACTGAGCCATCTTTCCAGTCCCCTTCCATAGATTCTTTGTGTGTATTTTACTATGTGTGTGTGTGTGTTGTTTGTTTTAAAAAAGGTTCTCTCTGCTATCCTAGAACTCACTATGTAAACCAGTTTGGCCTTGAACTCACCTCTGACCTCACCCACTCACTCATCCTCATCCTCCACTCCCCACCCTTGACAAGTGCTGGGATTCAAGTCCTGAACCACTTTACTTGCCATGCCTTGTTAGGTTGATATCCCTGGAAGTGCCTGCTCTTTTCTGAAGGGAAACAGATGGAAAGTAGGGAAGGAGACTGGGAGAAATGGAGGGAAGGGAAACTATGGTCAGAATGTAACGCATTAGCAGAGAATAAATTAAAAAAGAAAAGTCCAGCACTAACATGCCTATGTTTTTTTCATAATATTTTTATTGATTATTTGGGAACTTTATGTCATGAACCCCGAGAACACTCACTTCCCAGTCCTTCCTGGTCCATCCCTCCACCCTTGTAAACCCCCTGAATAAGAAGGGGAGGAGGAGAAGAAAAGTCCAATTTGTGTTGCCCATATAATAACTGGAGCGTGATCAAACTCCCAGCGGCTGGCTCCTAAGGAAGACTGAGTCTTTCTGGAACATCCCACCCTACCAGAAGCTATCAGATTCTTAATCATTAGACTCAGTATCTGGCATGCCACACACTAATGACATGTTTCAATCTGGTTTGCCGTTGCCACACATACATTCTTATTATCCAAAAACTGGCTCTACCACCAACCCATTCAGTATTTCTCAGGAATGTATTGTTTAAATTATCTGATTTTTTTCTATTCTCATTCAGTGTACACACTATCACACAATATCTTTTGTCATTATTATATAACAAAAAGGTACATGGCAACTTTAGATTAATTCATAGGTGTCTAACTGATTGGTCAAACAACAGAATTTTTCCATTTGCTGATACAAATCAAAATTGCTCTTGACTTAGAGTTCAGTGGCAGTGAGGGGTGACAGGCAGGGTGTTCACCTAGAAAGAGGAAGCATTAACTACAACTGGAGTTCTCTGGCACTCCTGTCCAGTAGCTAGGACAGAACCAAGGGCATTTCCAACTACTGGCCAAGGAGAAGAATTAGAACTGTTCACTTGCAGAGCCTCAGTCTCAGAATTTCTCTGGTCTATTTCTGTCTCCTGTTAGGAAAGGAAACAAATTAGTCATCCAAAGAAGTGGCTTTCTTGGGGTTAGCCCATTGCTAGTCAGATGCCCCTGAAGAACCCCTATGATACCTTTGAATCTCAATTTTCTGCTCTTTAACTTTATAAATGCCTTCAAATTAAAGCATTTTTCAATTAAAAGAACAAAATCAAGTCAGAAGTGTTTTTAAATAATAAAATGGTAGTTCGTATATGGTATGAACAATAGTTTGCAGTATACTTTTGTCTAGACTGCTAAAATCTTGCTTTTGGTTCCTAGCTCATGATATCATAACTCAAATTCAATATAGAGGTCTTTAGACTTCAGGGTACACTGACTTCTGTAACAGCAAAGCCCTGTGGACAAGTCAGACCTTGCTTTCCTGACAACCCAATGCATTTACATCACGGAAACTTTCTAAACTTTACCTCTAAACTAAGTTTTTCATAGCAAGCTTATTATATCTAAAACATTAAACATAATTTTTAAAATGTGTTAAGTTGGCCTCAAGAAAAAATGATTGCATATTTGTTTTTCTTTTTCATATAAAAACTGTTATAAACCCCAAATTTTTAACTTTGTTTTTGAAGTTCCGACTGCTCTGCTCTGCTCTGCTCTGCTCTGCTCTGCTCTGTTGTTAAGGGCTGTGTATAAGTGATTGCTTTTCTTCTTGAGATGTTTACCACTTATATACCTTATCCTGAATGTTAGCATTTTCCACTGGTTGGATGAGCCTCTTTGACTTAATTGTGAGTTTCATGGAGTTTTCTTGTCTTTATGTTTCCTATATTTCTGATCAGGATTGTAGTTAAGTAAAATTTGCTTACACAGAGCTTATTTGTTGGTTCCAGAATCCTTTTCATAGAATCAGCACAGTCAACTATATCCTTAGTAGAAAATAAATGCTGTTTGCTCCCTTTTGGTTCCTTGCTACTCATAGTGACAGTAGAAGCAATGCAAGCTGATGGTCTGTAGAGTAAGTGACAGTAGTTACTGTAAGGTACTTACATACAGGCAAGAAGGCAAGAGCCATTTTTTTTTTTTTTTTTTTTTGTAGCAGGACTGCCATCCCCCAAATTATGACACAGAGACTTATTATTAGTTATGAATGTTCAGCCTTAGTTTAGGCTCATCACACTAGGTCTTACAAATTATTTTAACCTGTTTCTCTTCATGTACATTTTGCCTTGAGGCTTTTTACCTTCCTTTCACTCTATTTGTTCCACCCTGCTTCCTTGTTTCTGTCCGACCCCTGGCATCTCCCTTTCTTTCTCCCTAGCTCTCTCTCCAGCCTATATTCTTCCTCCTACTAATGCTCTATGCCCAACAGTCCCACCTATCCCTCCTCTCCCTAGCTATTGGCTTCTCAGCTTCTTATTAGACCAATCAGGTGCCTTCGGCAGGCAAGGTAAAACAAATGCAACACATCTTTACATGGTTAAAGTACAACTTCACAACATAAATAAATTAACACATCTTTATATAGTTAAAGCAATATTATACAACAAATTTTGCTTTAAAATATCTGTGATTGAAGCAGTAAAAAATATTAACTTTTTCGATGTTCATCTAGTAAAGGAGAAACACTGTCTTCCACGATGAAAGAATCAGTCCCACTACATTCTAGAGTAACCTAATTCCTCAAAGTCGTACTGTGCAGCTGGTTAAGGAATCTGAGCTGGTGCCTTCTTCTCTTTCGCTTAAAAAAAAAAATGCTACAGGATATGAACAAATGACAGATGGACCACACCCAATCATGGCTAGGTACTCAGCAGATGTTTTCTAGTAATGGCTCAAATAAGCCATTTAAAGTCACAGTTGCACAATATATAAGCTTGTAGACAAAAGTCAGATTTGGAGGAAATTGTATCTACTACTGTGAGCATGGCAGCACCCTGGTTCACGTCTGCATTATATAGTGAGCTCTCCAGTTAATGATTTGTGTTTGATGAATGTTGATTTGGTAATCATGCCTAAAAAAAACTCATACTTTTCATTTTATGATATTATAAATTCATCCAAAGCACAGTAGAACATTGGCTCTTAATAGAATATGAAGGTGTATTGACATTTTAAAATCACATTACAACTAATTAAAAATACTAATAAGTTAGGTTATTAAAAACAAATGGTTAAAATATTGGAAAAGATATTACAATAATCCTATCTTGCAAAGTGTGGTAGTTTTGTGAGTCTGTAACCTTGGGATTTGGGAAGACAGAAGTAGGAGGATTGCTTAAAGTTGGAGGCCAGTCTCAACTACACAGAAAATTCCAAGGCCACTGTGGTCTCACCACTCACTAAGCAGTCAACCATTCTGTTTCAGAGATAATAAAATGGGGGTAATAAGCTCAATTGCTTGCAAAGGCATACAACCAATAAATGCTGTTTCTGCAAACTGTAAAGTTGTGCTTTTATTTTAATATCTTAAATATTCAAATCTTGTTTTTCAGAGAATACTGCAATGACCTTAAACTCTCTGATAATAATACTGAATTTCTTTTAAATTTCAATGAATTTATTGACAGAAAAACTCCAAATAACCCTTCCTGTAAGTATATATGAATTTGTTGTATTTCCTTGGTGCTTGGGTCCAAAGTGATCAGTTTGGTTCATATGAGCAAATTTCAGAATAATATCAGTTTATTGGTATACTGATTTATTTACTATATGAAGTTTTAATGGTAATATGCAGCAGTTTGGTCCTTTACTTTTCATATTAAAGGAATATCATTTCATTATTAGTGAAATCAAGTTTTCAGAACAAGGTAGTCGGGTCTTGAAAGCAGTTAAATGGTATGCCCACCCTTGTTCCTCTCACATTTTGAAAATTTGCATTGAGTCACCTATTGAAGACTTTCATTACAATACACTTTCTATGTAGAAAGAAAGAACATAGGGTATGTTTTTTAAATGTGTTATTTCTTTAAATTTCTATGTTTTCATATCAATAGAGAATAAGGAATAATCACCTAACAGTTTTCTTTCCTTATGATTGTTTAATCACAAGCAACTTTGTCAAAAACATATGTCTATTGTATGCCTCATGAGACAAATCTGGTAGAAAATGATGGAGACAATTTTAATAATTAATTTTAACTATTATACTTGTCTCTTTGATAAATCTACATCATTAACCCTTTAAGATTTTTCTCATATACATAGGTTCTAGGCTTTTAAACATTTAATAATCAAAATTCTTTCATTCTACAAATTGCTTATAAGAGTTCTACCTGGAATAATTCAAATATGAAATAAGGGAGAAAAAGCAAATGCACATCAAAACTTACCCCTTAAATAAACAGAATTTGAAAAAAAGAACAAATAGATGAAACATTCACTTCCTCCTTTTTCCTCTTTCTTTTTACCTTTTAAACAGTGATTATTTCTATTATAAAAGGCTAAGCAAAGTGCTTCTGTCAGTTATCAAAAGTCAGAAAGCCTTCTTCTAAAAGTTGCCTCTCCAACTTGAATTGTTACATAGGAACACTGAGTTGCTCCATTCCCCCGCCCTGTGTCTTCCACAAATGAGATATCAGTGGAGGCTGTGCATTCCTGACTTAAATCAAATGAGCCTTTGTCATGAATGTGAGAAGAAAGTACCTGTAGGGTTTCTCAAAGTTTCACACACTGAGAACAGACAGGCCCAAGGGGCAAAATGAGTAAGATATGCTCTTTGATCTTGGGTCCTCATTTTCCATTCTTTCTGTTACCTTTGAATTTGGACAGGAATGCTTCTCAGTTATTAAAGAAATGATAGCTGAAAGCCTGTACTATTGAAGTGATATCACTGAATTCAAAAACCTAATGTTGGAATAGTGATAGTATAAGATAATTCTATCCCTTTCCCCTACTTCAAGACAAACACAAAAATTGACATTTATAGGAGTTTTCAAGAAGTCAAGTTTATGGTATGTTATTATGTTCTACTGTTTAATGTGAAGAGTTAAAATATCCTTTTCCTTATTAAAAAAAGGTGAAAGATATTTCATATTTTTACTTGATAATTCCAGTTAAGAATCCTATCCACACGAGTGAGTGTTTATTGAATATGTATGTGTATATATATATATATATATATATATATACACATGTTATTAAGCTACATAACCACAGAAAAAAGAACATTTCTTCATACATTTCGTCATAATGCAGATGTCTTTTTGAGCTTTCATGTATCTGTTTATTACTATTTAAGTGTTTAATTAGAGTTACATATAATAGTACTATATTTAAATCCTTTCCTCCCCTGCCTTTCCTCTTTCAATGCCTCCCAGCCCTACTCCCTCTCAAGTTCATGACCTCTTCTTCAATTACGAGGGTCATGTATGTATGAATCTAGATATATGTTAAGTATATATTCATTTGTACATACATGAGTATACATATAAGCATATTTGTATATATAAATTCTTAATATTTATAACTTAAGTATGCAAACCTGCATATATATATATATATACATATATATATATATATATGCAAATACAAGTCACATACACAACCTCCTGTGTCCATTTAGTGTTGCTTATATTGATCTGTATTTAGGGCTGATGAATGAGAATTGGATAACCTATCAGGGAGTTTGCCTGTACAAGACTGATTCTCCATCTCTCAGCAGTCATAACCTACCATAGTTCTTCATCATCAGTAGGGCCATCCATGTTGGCATATGAACTCTTATAGTCTTTGTGCAATTCTTGGTTGAGAAACATTATTGTTTAGTTTTCACAGGTGCAGTTTCTTTGTTATATCCAGAAGTCAAATGTCTTTTGATAAAGCATTTTATCTTATTAGTTATTGGCTTTTGCAATACTTCTTCATTCATATACCCAATATATATGAGATCAATGATATAGAAAATGTGCAATTTATATGGAATATTCTTGTACATCTACTCAACTGATTTTGAAAAGAGTAAATTTATTTGTTTCACTGTTATTTGAATTTTAAAAACTATGGCAGTTTAATTAAAGACATCATTTTTCTATGTCAGGTAATACAGATTTAATTAATAGAATCTTGCTGGATGCTGGTTTTACAAATGAACTTGTCCAAAATTACTGGAGTAAGCAGAAAAATATGTAAGTATTTGTTCTTGTTAATAGAAATATATATATATATATATATATATATATATATATATATATTTATTGCCTTTAGTTCCATATCTCCCTGGGAAATTTTTATTTAATGGGCCTCATAGGTTCAGTTAGTTATTTAACTTTAGAAATAATTTCTGATGAAATCATTTTGCAATTTTTGATAATTTGCATCTTCAATTTTGAGTGCAATTCAATGTTAATATTGGCCATTTGTTAGCATTACATGATGATATGGCTAAAATATTAAATAAACATGTTTGCATATGTGTGTTTGTGGTAAAATAGTGTTTCTAGTGAATACTTTGTTGGCTTTCTACTGACACATGCCATACTCTTACTCAGTAATGGAGGCCTTGCAGGGTAGTTCTCATTCATAATCTCATCTCCATTCATTTCCAGGCAACCACTTGATGCTAAATACTTCTCCTTACTGTGTTTGCCTCTCTTCTTCATGGTCAAGGTCTTAAAATACCATTTTTTAGAAATTACAACAGCCCAGTTTTTTACCTTTAGTGCTGCCCATTCCTGTTGCCAAATACCAATCCCTACAAGGCATTCCTGCCACACCCTGTTTCTAAAGAGCTTTAACATAAAGGTGGAACTTGAAGACAAATATACTGGTACATGCCTATGATCTCAGCACTTAGAAACTGAGGCAGGGGCAGCACAGGTTTAAGGTTAACCTTGCCACAGACCAAATTCTGTCTCACAGAAGTGAGGAGGAACAGTTCTTAACCATGAATTTCAAAATCACTGCCAGGGTGTCTCTTTAAGAAATGTATGCTTGAGAGTGGACTTTCTATAATCCCTCCCTTTGTCTTATCCCTTTCTTACTAACACCAGGTGCCTTGACTTGCTTTCCCCATTGTCTATACACTGATGTCCTCTGTAATCCCTGCTGACTCCTCACCAGTTGTCAAAGGACGACAATTCCATCCTTCTTCCTTCTAAAATGATTCTTAAATACACTAACACTGAGAGCTTAATTTCATAGGTTATTAACCTGCCATTTTGCGTGTGTTGATATGTGTAACTTGGTTTCCTTTATTTCATTTTGTATTATGAACACCTAGCTTAACATCTCAAAGCTTGCTTTTTCATATGTCTCCCTTTTATCTTTTATTTTAGCAAAGGAGTGAAAGCACGCTTTGTGGTGACTGATGGTGGGATTACAAGAGTTTATCCGAAAGAGTAAGTTCAAATAACATTGGTAAAAATAAGTTCATCACAACAGCCCGTGCCAAGGGTCTGGATATTGCCATGTAAGGAAGCTATTCTTTGGGAAAATTGGTCATTGTTAGTAGATTAAATTGCAGTATTGTTTAAAGTATTTGTATTAATAAAATATACCATTTCCCTGGGTAATATCATTATAGGATGTTTCAATGGCAGTTACTAGTCATATTTGTATATATTCATTACAAAATTTAAAAGAGGTTCAAAGAGATGTTCATCTTGTAGACACAGTCCAACTGGGCTATACGAGCATAATGAGCATAATGGTGTATAGCTGTCCTTTTTTGCATTGGTCTTTCTTGCCTCATATCTCTTGTTATCTTAACAACAGTTTCTGCAGTGGGCTGGATAGGTACCAAGGATTATTAATACTAATTAACTGACTTATTCATAGTTTCTCAACTAAGAGTCAGCTCTTTCTTAGTCTTCTTATGTTGATATATTGCTTAGTAATGAGTATCAGTTACACTATCCATACCTGACTTCCTTAGGCATACCTGAAAAGTAGATATGTCTGTAGAGCTGTAGTTCCACAAAGGGAATTCAGGTTATCATGTACCTTAAGGAATATAAATGATGAGAGCCATTTCCTCCCTAGAGCTGGAGAAAATTGGCAAGAAAACCCAGAGACGTATGAGGACAGCTTCTACAAGCGGAGCTTAGATAATGATAACTATGTTTTCACTGCGCCCTACTTTAACAGTGAGTATTCTTTGGAATTCAGATTTCTCTGTTCCTTTCAAATGTTTAATAAACTATGTTAACTAGTCCCTCTCCCTTCAAGTGAATATATTTTGTTAACTGCCTATTATTGAGTATATAATATGTATAAGAGATTGGTAAACAGAAAAGAAACATTCATTTAGTTGAAAAATTAGAATGCATACACAGCAAGAAGTCATCGAGCAAAGCAGATCTGGCATCTCTAGCAGGCATGCACAATAAGTAGAAACATATGGGAATAATGCCATGCGCATCAACTACTACTCTCAAACATGGTTAATGAGAAACAAGTCGGTGTATAGTGATGGATTATATCTTATCTGTGTTAATTTTATAATTTACTGTCTATAAAAATAATAGTTCATTTTAAAATATAATTTATATGATTCTTTGCTCCCTCCCTCCAAAGAAAACATTTTAGTTCAACCCTTCACCATCTGTGTACATAGTTACTTTATTACTCTCACTTTAAAAATGAGGAAACTGAAATCCATACAGTTTGGAGGTGTATCCACAGACATACATCTCTCATAAGGCAAAGCCTGTTTTGTGACTCCAAGATTTTTCTTTCCATTTCCTTGGAACAGCTTCTCCAACATTTTGAAAATAATCCACAATTGTGATTGGGCATGCATCCATTATATTACAGAAGTAGATGAAATGGAGTAATTCCTGTCTTTAAATAAATAATAAATAGAAACCAACTCATGACTTTTCAAGTCTCCTTGGTATATTCAGAAAGAAAAAAAGAAAGCTGAAATATCTTTTTAAACAAAATGTACCATTCAGAGGCTTGGAATTATGATTCATCTAGATTAGTCTCTTTGTCTTTCTTTTAGAAAGTGGACCTGGTGCGTATGAATCTGGCATTATGGTAAGCAAAGCCGTAGAACTGTATATCCAAGGAAAACTTCTTAAGCCTGCAGGTAAGCATACATTACGTGTACATGTGACCAAGGTTAAATAAAACATGGTATCTCATCATAAACTGGAAACATTTATTCAGAAGATCAAAGTTTAAATCTGTGATCAATCTAGCAATGCTACTCTGTCAATATCTCCTATTTGCAAATACATGGAGGACTTATGCCAAGGCCGTAAATGTTTATAATCATTTAAATATGAAATTACATTTCTAGACTACTAAGGAGCTGCTAAAAGCAGTTAGGGCTGGATCTGTCTAAAATTGTTCAACTATTTGGGGAAAAAAATTGAATCAACCAAAACAGAACAGTACAAATGAGAATTACAAATGGGCTGGAGTGAGTGCATACAATAAAATCAAATCTAGCACAGTGGAGATTTTCATTATGTGACTCAGTATTGTTTACAGTTATATTTAGAGTGATCAGATGGAAAAGATGGAGGATCAGTTTTCTGCCCCAGGGAACAATGCTACCCTATCTGTGTTCAGCTACTAGAACTCACTCCTTCACCTTTCACTCAATTGCTACTTCCTCCCTTAGCTGCTGACTAACCCCCACCTTCCCTTACTTCTCATATGCTCATTTGTCCATTCCTTCAAGAAATGATTCCTATGAATCTGATGCTTTAACCGACAGTGTTACTGCTCAAATGATCTCATATTTTTTTAAGATCAACTCTCACATTTTTTAGGTAATACTGTTAATTAATTGAACAGTTGGAATGTGGCTATCATTAAAAAGTTGCTTGAAATGTAAAATACAGTACATGGAATAGTTTAAAAACTTCAAGAACTGTTTCTTAATAACTCCAAAAACTGTACTTCTGTTAAAAAAAATTGTACTGAATGTCAAATTTATTAGATAGTTGTTATGTTGTGAAGATGATATTATAGCAATCATGACTTCAAATTAATTTACATTATTTTTTCAGTTGTGGGAATAAAAATCGATGTAAATTCCTGGATAGAAAATTTTACCAAAACTTCAATCAGGGATCCGGTAAGTTTCTTTTTCAAAGTTATTAAACTATGATTAACAGTCTCAAAGTTCACATAAATAAAAATGATCCTCATGTAATGGCAAAGTAGATTTCTGGTGTCACTATACTTAAATAGAAATAGGAATTTCAGTTTTGAATGTTTGATTTTTCCTAGGCAATGAAATGAAAAGCATTTCAGGTAGACAACTTCATACACATACATATTGATTGATATTTTGTGGGTTTAAAGATTAAACTAGTATCTTTTTCTTATTTATACTAGATAAAAATATTCTATGTTGTCTTATTATAGGAAGGTACTTATTCAACTGATTTAAAGCTGTGAAGTGGTGGTTTTAATTCTCTTGTTTTCTTTTTTCTTTATTTTTTATTTTAGTGTGCTGGTCCAGTTTGTGACTGCAAAAGAAACAGTGATGTAAGAAAATTCGTTAAAATCTTTAAAATAAATTTGACTAGAGTGTTTTTATTTCTCTGCTTACCAAATAATAATTATGTCGATGATTAAAAGGGTCCAGGGATTTTGGATCTAATGCTAACACGCTCTGTAGAAAACTAATTAATACAGGTACTCTAAATGCTTCTTCAGAAGATATTTCTGTCTAAGGGAAGGAGAAGAGTCATGTCCAAGTGGGCCCTATTTTGTTTGGTATTGGTGAAGGTGGGGTCTTTTAAGTATCTTCAACTTTATTTTTTAAGAAGTTTCTAAGCAAAGCATCCATTTCAGATGTAGTCTACCCTCAACTTCTGTCCTTTCTGTGAATTTTCCCACCTCTTAAGGTGTTGGGGGAAATGAACTAAATGCTGATGATATACTAAAGGATTAGGTGTTGCCTTGTATCATCTATCTTTGCAAACTTGAAATAGAAAATGTGAGCTAACCTTGTCAAGGGCCTGACGGTGCTCTAAGTAGGATGGTAGAGAAACTGGTCCAGGAACTGAAAGAGAATGTTGCTGGTGACTCCTTACTCCACGTGTGTCTGTCTGAGATGACTACAGGAAGAGGGTGTTTTGTCTTTTTGATGACTCCTACATCTGTGAAATTATAAGCCACACCTTTTAATATTTTAGAGTACATTTACTTTCCCATAGACCTTGTTGAATAATTGCTTTAGAGAAAATGTTTCAGCAAACTGTTTTCATTGGGCATATAGCATATTGTGTTTCCACCTTTGAAATTAATGTTTTAATCATAATTTTTTCAACATAAGGTATTAAATTTTCACACATGTAAACTAGGTAGAAGTTTCCTTCCTCATCTTTGGGCAAATTCTCCTTTGCCTTCTTGTGTAAGTCTCCCATTATCCAAATAAATATTTTTATTATGGTAATGTAAAATAGTTTTTCATATTCATTCCTTGTGTTTTCCCTAGTCTGTGAAATATAGTTAGTAAATACATGGATTCATGTTATTTTTATGTTTAAAATAACAAAATTTTATGTGTTTTGACATATGCTAGACAGTTCACATTGGTAGGTAGATAACTGGTGATAGATTATCAAGACTGCAGTCTTCATGTGAACATCTGTGTGCCCTACATGTATAAGATTAGTGTCTCTGGAATACATTTCATCTGGAGAAGATGCAGTTTTGAAATTTCTCATTTCTATTACTCGACTTATTTGTATGCCATGGAACAATGATGGAGCAGCATGCCAGCCTTCCTAACCCCTCTTGCTTCCTGCTCATAGGTAATGGATTGTGTGATTCTCGATGATGGCGGATTTCTTCTGATGGCAAACCATGATGATTACACTAACCAGGTATGAACCTGGAGTAAGGGAGAAGTTCAGTTTCCAAAGTGCTCTCTATGATAAAAATCAGGAAACCCTTTAGAATTTTAGAAATTGATGAGTTGTTTAATTTTTGTCACAAAATAAATCTTAAAAGATTCATATAATATGAACCAATGCACTCTGAATAGTAAATCCATCACTCCTTTTTTAATTGGTCATACTTTTAGATAACAATCGTCACCATTAATGCACATAGTTAAGGATTTTGAAATGATATGAACTTGCCTTCACTCTTTTCAGCAAGTCAGGTAATTGCTACATCTTCAATACAATAGCTGGTAATGTCTAAACTGACATCTGGACAGATGAAATTTCTGGACCAAAATTTTCAAATTGGCCATAAGAGATACTATTAATCCTGGATCTATATTTCTAGGTTTTCCCAGCGCTAGCCTTTCTTCTGACTAACCATAGTTTATCTGCTGAAGCTAGGAGTTTGTCATTGCCCCATTCTTTGAGCCTCCCAGTTTAGGACATAGCCTGCTGGGTAGGTTTTTATTCCTACCCACCCTCATTAAGAGTACTCTTCATTTATCCAGAAGATATTTGGTTTTTAAGCACTGTTTACCATAGAACGCATATAAGTTTAAGATGTTTTTATACAAAATTATTACTGTAAGTCAAGCTAGTTAAAGTATCTGTCATCTCAATCGCCTTCCCTTGTGTGGTAGGAGAACCAAAGTTTGCCCTTTGTTGATTTCTCATATACAACTAAACAGTATTAACTATGGTCCTCTCTTGGAATCTTAACCCAGGTGGCTGAAACTCTGTTTCTGTCCTTCCTGCTTCTAACCCCATTCTTCTCACCAGGGACATCTAAGTATGACTTTATTGTGTACAGAAGTGGGTTGGGATTCATTCCTCTCACAAATATAAGACCACTGATAGCCCCTGAATGATGAGAGTGGCTAAATTCACGTTGATTCTTCCGCATTGTAGGTTTTCATTTACCCAGATTTACCAACTGGTTTTGTTTGTTTGTTTTAATTCAGTTTATTACATAATATTTCTCAATTAATTCAGATGTTGTTTTAAATTTGAAACTACTGAATATCTCTTCCTTCCTTTCTTCCTTTCCTTCTTTCTTTTCTAGATTGGACGTTTTTTTGGAGAGATTGATCCAAGCTTGATGAGACATCTGGTTAATATATCAGTTTATGCATTCAATAAATCATATGACTATCAATCAGTTTGTGATCCAGGTGCTGCACCAAAGCAAGGGGCAGGACATCGTTCAGCATATGTGGTCAGTAAAACCTGTGCTTGAACTAGTTTCTCAAGGGAACACTTATGCCAGTGTAGACATCATGAAATCTTGATATCTATTTTGTATTTTACAGCCATCAATTGCAGACATATTGCAGATTGGCTGGTGGGCCACAGCTGCAGCTTGGTAAGTCAAGTGCTTTGTTTTATTACAAACAAAAGAAAATGTCATTAAAATGTGGATTGCAGGACAGGTGACTTGTATCATGGGTATTATTCTTTCCTATGAACATGTTAGAAACATTAGTAGTTTCTAAATGATCATGTGAAACATACTTTTCAACTTTCTATGTAAAGACACTGATAAGTTCAAGAAATTCCCCCTCTTCAGAGATGTTTTTGACGTGAAATTTGTTCCTGGTAATTTCTTGAATGTACATAATGCATTTTATTTCCCTCCCATCCATACCAACCTATCCGCCCCCCCCCTACAAATCCCTTATCCATCTGATGTTTACTTGTTTTGAGATCCAATGAGTTCACAAAGTCTAGCTGAGTAAATATAGATATGGACCTATCAAGTAGCTTGATGGGATCACCAGTGGGTATGCACCTGCATATAGACACCCCTTTTCCCATAATCCATCAGTAACCAATGATTTAGTATGGAAGAGTAGGACCTGAAGATCATTTCTGCACACCATGACTAGCTTGTGTGAGACTTGTGTAAGCAACACAGGTGATCTGGGTTCATTTTGCCATGGTTATTGCAGGTCTGAAGACAGCACATTGTAAAACTGTTTTCTTTTTCCCCCAGCCGTTAGATCCATTTAGTCCCCTCTTCCATGATGTAAATATCCTATGCAGACCTAAACACTCCATTATTCTCAGTAGCTAAGAGTTTTTGCACACACTGCAGTCATTGCAAAGAGAAGCTCCTCTGATTGAGAGTCGCAGGCATCTATGGACAGAAGCACAGATGAATTGAAGAGTATGATAGCACGTTAATGTAGCTACACAACAATACCAAGTTTTCCCTGGGCTCATTTCCTACCTAGGTGTGGGTTTTTGACTGGATTATTCTATGGTCCAGTTAGAACTCTGAATTTGTATTTTTTAACATTATACTTGATCCTTAAATTCTAAGAGTATCAATAAAACATGATTTATCTTTAATATCCAAATAAAATGTGCATATTGATCCAATTCATGACGTGGTAACTGATTTTTCTACCTTTTACCCTTAACACAATATTGGTCCAGTATCAGAAGCCTTATATTGAAATAACTCCTGTTGTCCTTTGGGTGGCTCTCCCCATCCCCTTCATTCACCATCCCTTCCACCTGTGAAGTTCACACACTTAAACTGGTGAGACATGGAGGAGTGAATGTGACAGTCACATTCTGGTCACCCAGGGTACTCAACCTCCTCTATGTCTAGGATTCCTTCTCTTTTTCCTTTGCTCCCTACCTGTTTCCTGTCTACCCCATATTTCTGGTTTTGTACCTCATGCTACTGAACTGGCTCAGCTGTATTCCATATTTATTAATATACAAAATCCATTGAGTCTTAAGGATTTGGGTGCTAAAATCAAGTTTATATCATTTTTACCAAAGTAACAATAATATTTCAAATTTTAAAAATCCCCCTTTTCCTAAAAAATGTTATTTTACAATATGATAGTGCTATTTGTATGTTAATATAAGTAAATATTCTTTATAGTACAATAATCTTGAAATCTGCCTTTGTCCCATTTGCTGGTCAAAATCTCTACGTTACTGCTACTTAACTAAATTAAGTTCCAGAATGTTCCTTACTAAAATTTGGTTCAATTATCATTATTATAAAACTTGGTTATATTGTATTTCTCTATATAATTTTATGTATTCCTCATCACAAATTAATCTCAAGCCTAGAGTTCAGATAGTGATTTTTGTTTGTATGTCTTTATTGCACCATGGAGTTTTGATTTAATTTATTTATTTGTCATTTTATTTATTTTAGTTACTAATAACTAAAATTTTTTTTAAAAAAAAGATTCATGATGTAAAACTTCATTCAACAAATTTTGATAATCTCCCTCATAGAGTTAGCCCTACTACACAGTAATATGATTTAATAGGTGACTCTTTTACTCATGTAGTAGTAGTAGGCTCCTACACTCATGTATGTCCTCATTTGGTCCCACACACTTTTCACTGCTGATGAGAATCAAAGGTGGGACATTTTTCACAATTTAAGAAATACAATAAAATGTCTTAAATTTTCTTTTAAACTACATTTCCGTCACAATAATGAAAATGATGTATGCATGTGTTTGTGCTTGCAAAAATGCTCAGTTTTCCTATAAAACATTGTAAGGGATAATTTCTAGATGTTTCTCAATTACTCATTTTTAAAATCCAGGTCTATTCTCCAGCAGTTACTCTTGAGTTTGACATTTCCACGGATCCTGGAGGCAGGTATGTCAATGCACTGATGTGGTCATTGTCACAGAAGTTCATTTTTCTTTTGGATTGTGCTGTCAGTCTAGTAAACCCATAAAGAGAATTTGCATGTGTGTGTTAACGTATGTATGTGTGTGTATACATGTGGGTATGTGTGTGTATGTATATGTACATATGTAAGCATGCATGTGTGCATGTGTATATGTATGTGCATGTGTGTGTGTGCATGCATGTGTGTGAGCAAAAGACATCATCATACTCATATTTTGATATACTGAAACTTTATTTTCTAGTATTTTTATGAATTTTATAGTTCACATTTGTAACTTAAATATTAATTTATTATTTAGAATCTTCCCAGGCACCTTTTAATGACTTTCAGGCAATTACTCAACAGCAAGCCAACCTACCAGACATTTGTCATTATTGACTAATTTTGTGTCTGTGAACAGTAATTCTAAGACATGTGTCTTCCTTCTCCCGATGACCTTTGTTTTGCCTCCCACAGTTGAGATGGAGGAGGATGACTTCACTGCCTCCCTGTCAAAGCAGAGCTGTATCACGGAACAAACGCAGTACTTCTTCGATAATGATAGTAAATCATTCAGTGGTGTACTGGACTGTGGAAACTGTTCCAGGTACTCTGCTCCTTCCTGTGGAGCAGTCCTTATTCACTAAGAGCAGAATTCATAGTCACAAAATAACAATAATAATAATAATATAACAGACATTCTCAGTGGAGTCAAAGCTGAAAATGTGAGAAATACTTAGTTTTGTTATAGGTCTCTTAAGGTCTTGGTGATTTATAATTATTTTTGCTACAGTTACGTGATAAAGACAACTGCCTCTGATTTTTGGAAAAAAAGGAATTTTCAGTGCATTTTTCATAAGAAAAACTTTGTAACAAAGTTTGGTGATGATAATTTCAATCAAATTGACTTCATATATGATAAATAAGGAGGGTTATAGAAAGTTGGGGTGTTCTTTGTCATCTACCCTTCCCTGACATGAAAAATTGAATAATAACTTGGATTTGAAAGTATCTCCAAAGGTAATGGTTAATATTAGCATTCATAAAACATCTTTAAACTGTTTTGGAATGTAGATAAAATGCACTTGTCTGTAATAGGATAGAGGAGAAAGGCAACATGGGGCTTTGGAAAGTCTGAAAGGAAAGTGCTAATCCAGGCTGTGGGGTCCCTGAGCCACAGTTTACAAAGTGCAGAGATGGAAGGTAAGTTATTCCAGAAGAACATTAACAGCAAAAATAAATGGGATGAGGTAAGGTAACCTGAGGAAAACATTAGAATAGTTGCTGGGGATTGCAAAAGTTAGTCTACAACAATTATATAATAATTTTTTACTTCAAGGACATAACCAATAGGCATAGTCAGTATTTTTATGACTTGGCTTTATTTCTGTTTCTTCAAGAGGTAGAGTTTACGATGAGGAAAATAAAGAGAGAAGTCAAACGAATTCTGGATAAAGATCACTTTCGAGTTTAGAAAACAGAACAGCACCTGTTCTCAGTATATGCATAGAGCACCCCAGGTTTGCTATACTTGTGGTCCAGTAGCAGCATGTGTACATAAAGAACTGGAAGGGTACAGACTAGTCTAACACATCACTTGAAAGCACAGTCTTACTTAAGTTATTCTATGTTGTTTCCCAGTTCAAAAGGAAAGCCTAAGAAAATTACACTTTTTCAAAAACAAATAAAGCAGATCTTGGTCATATATTGGATACAAAGGAAAACAAAGCAACTGACACTGGGAATGGAACTTAAAGTCTGAATCCCTATCTGAGTTCTGCAACCTAACAATTTATAACAACTTGTGCCTATTTGCATTATAACTAAGGTTAAATGCAATAATGAAACTTTTACGTCACACCCCAAGACCTCTGTTCGCTGTATTGGCTAGGACAGAAACCTGCTAGGATCATTGATCTTCACTCTTTTCTCACCTCAATTTGACAATATGATTAGTTGATTTGTTTTTGCTGCTTGGACTATTTGTAAAATATTGTTGGTTTATTGCCTATGATAAATATCACCATTTCCTGAACATTTAAAATAAATTATTTTTAGGGTTTTGGATATAACTAAATAGCACGTATTTAGTAATTAAGACTGACAACTTTCAAGATTTCAATCAAAGATATTTTTAATATGACCTTGAGTTTGTCACTATTTTTTGGAGATGTGTCCATAGTAGTAAGTAAAAACATAGTGATTTTAAAGTCACATTCATTTTAGTGTGTGTGTGTGTGTGTGTGTTCTTGTGTGTTATTCAGGATGATGATGCTTTGTTTTCAATACATTGTTTTATCTTTCTTTTCATTAAGAAAGGATCTTGTAATGATTTCCATTCTTTTTCCCAAAAGATGATTTTCACTTAATGATCTTTTCTAAAATTTTTTGCAGAATCTTTCATGTAGAAAAACTTATGAACACCAACTTAGTATTCATAATGGTGGAGAGCAAGGGAACATGTCCATGTGACACACGGCTACTCATGCAAGCAGAACAGACTTGTATCCTTTGGCACTTGAAATGTTTGGCGGAGATCATCTTAAAGCAGTCGATATTTAACTTTGTCACCCTGCTTTTTTGCTCACGTAGAAAAAAATAATATGATACCAAAAATTTGGAAGGTCAGAACTGATCACATTACTCAGGAACTATGAGAAAAGTACACTGAACATATAGTTTCTCACAGTCCCAAACACTTGAATTGGTTCTGTTGGCTGAGCACTGGCACAGGTAAGTCATGTTTGATTTTGGAAATAAATATATCTCACTGTATCTTTAACCATGTGAGGAAGAAGTTATGTCCACTCTGCTCCTTGACAAGCCTCTTTAGCTGATGGTCCAGATCCTTGTGATATGGTTAAGCAACCCAGATACCGAAAAGGGCCTGATGTCTGCTTTGATAATAATGTCCTGGTAAGGATTTTAATTCGTTAAATATTATAAAGAAATGGTCACTTTCCATAAGGAGTTAAAGAGAAGGGTTTTCACATTTAACTCATCATTATGTCTTTACCATAGTTTTTCTCATTAACATGATGTAATTGCTGGTAAACAACAATTTTCCACTTCAGTCATTTTCATAGCATAAAGTTCGCAGTTCCTTATTCTGTCCTTCCCATTATTGTACTTTCAAACACAACTTCCATGAACTTTTTAATACTCTATACAATTATGTTAAAGACATAATAATGAATAATAACCTGTAGAAAATGCTAATCACGGGACATACATTGCCTACCTTAATTTACATTGCAATACTGAAAGTGTATTATTTTTATTATAATTAATGTGTGTTTATTCATCATCCAAAAACACTGTTATATGTAGTTATTATCCAATTATTTTATTCTATTTTCTCATATATCTTTTTTTTTCTTAAGAAAATGTATTTTATATATATGGATTTTTTTTTTTTTTTTGCATGTATAATCTGTGTCCCACATTTGTGCCTCATGCCCAAGGAGGCCAGAAGAGGGCATCAGAGTCCCTAGGACTAGAGTTACAGCTAATTATCAACCATTACATGAGTACTGGGAATCAAATCCAGCTCCTCCCAAAGATCAGCCTTAACATCTGTTCCAATTCTCCATCCATCCAAACTGTAATTCTTAAGCCATATTTATGTAAAGGATACTTATTAATTGTTAAGTAAAGCATTTAGATAAAAGCAGCTGAGTCATTTCAAAAAAAGAAAATGGGTTAAGCTACTTCTTTCATAGAACCTATGATACATTACAGATCCTGAGACTACAGTGGAAAAGGGATGCCAGCAGAACAAAGTAATAGTAAACATGAGGATGGTGTACCAGGTCCCCAAAACCATCCATTTATGATGATTGGTAGGACACACACTAACAAGAGATATTGTTTACAAACCCACTATTGACAGAGTACTACAGAACTGGAGCACATCTCTTTTTTTTATCCCCCCCCCATTGGAAATGGATTGTTTTCCATGCAGTAAATCCTGATTACTATTTTCTCTCACCCTACTAAAGTTAATCCCAGTTCCTCCTCACCTCACCTCTCTCCCATCCAGATCCATGCCCTTTTTGTCTTTAATTAGAAAATAAGGAATATGAGAAATAATAATAAAATAAAACACAACAAAAGCAAGCAAACTAGAGTAGGAAAAAACAACAACCAAGAAAAAGGACCAAAGAAAAACTACAGGAACCCCCAAATAAACAATGCTCTTAACCATACTATATATACAAAGGACCTGTATTAAAACAAAAACAAAACAAAATAACAAACAAAAACCCTGACACAGCATTTTAAGACAACACCTCCAAAGATGCTCTTAAGTTCATTTTATGTTAGCCATATCCAGCTGGGTAAGAGGACTGTCTTTAAGAATGGTTTGTTTCCACAGTAGAACTTCACTGGAGAAAACTAATTTTTATTTGCATGTGTCTGTCTATTGGATGTAGGGATTAGGAATGGGGGCATGTATGCACTTCTCCTTTATCTCTGGAACTCCATCTTTTGCAGACATATGCAGGTTTTGTACCTGTTGCCACAGTCTCCTTGAGTTATTATTTAATTATTTTGTTCTCCTTTCTGCTATATCATTTTTTAATTCTTTCACTCCCCCAGTTGTATTAATATGTTACAACCCATACCTAGTATAAATTATTACTGATATTAACTTTTCTTTAAATTCAGAGCTTTCTAATTCCTAGTGCTTTGACATTATACTCAGTCAATATACATATATTCAGCTACAGAAATTATACATATACGTTATATATGTGTGTGTGTGTGTATATGTATATATACATATATATATACAATGTCTTTGCTTCTAAAATTAACCAATCTTATTCACAAAGATAACTATAATAGAAAGATCACTGTCTATTTACTTTTACTGCTTTCAATGTAATAGTACCCAAGTCTCTATTTTCTTCTGTTTCCCCCCACACACTGGTTTACATACCCCAAAGAGTACTCAAACAAAACAGAGCATTGTCTTCTTGTGAACCGCTACTTTAAAGACTTATAAAAGCATCCAGTGATTAATGTGTTTTTCATAGGTTTTTCACGTAAAATACAGCAATATCAGACTCAGAAACAGTAACACATTTTCACAGAATTATGTTATGTAAACAAATATGTGAATTAAACACAGAAAGAAGAGCTGCATTTGAATTGCTTGAACCAACATGAAAAATACCAGACATGGTTGCTGGTGTCTGGAACCCAACATTGGGGAGCAAAGATAGGCAGCTCTTGAGACTCACTGGTGAGCCAGCCTTGTCAACATGATGAGCTTCTAGGTCACTGAGAGTCACTGTATAGAAGAAATAAGCAGAGATGGATAGAGGAAGACAGAGGATGTTCTACCCTGACCTCCTCATCACATGCACTGGCACATTCACATATTAAATTAAATAAATAAACAAACAAATAAAATTGTTAGTGGGGATAGATCTAAAAATGTAGGATGTAGCAACCAGATCTTTGTTTGTTTTTATATTTTATTTTAATTTGCTTATTTATTTTACATACCAACGACAGTTCTCCCTCTTCTCCTCCTCCTGCTGCTCTGTACCTCCCCCAATCCACCCCTATCCACTCCTCAGAAAGGGTAAGTTCTCCCATAGGGAGTCAATAAGGCCTGGTACATTCAGGTAAGGCAGGACCATGACCCTCTCCCCAACCACATCAAGACTGAGCAAGGCATCCCACCATATGGAATGGGCTTAAAACTGTCAATTCATGTACTAGAGATAGATTTTGGTCCTATTGCCAGGGGTCCCAAGTAGTGAGATAGTCCTTCTGTAGCACTGACCACGCCCATTGGGGGGTGGAGCGATGGGCGGAGGTGACCTGAGGAAGGAGGTCCGAGGGGGCCAGGAAGGCGCTCTCTTGCTGGCGTGACTCGGACAGGAGAGGATCGGGTTGAATTTCCTGGTGTTCATCTGTCTAGGTTGTAAGTTATTTCTCCCTGAATAAACATCTCTTCGGCCTATTTGTTTATCCTGATCCTTATTTACCGCAATAGTCCCACAAACAGACCAGGCTACAAAACTGTTGCCCACATACAAGAGTCCTAGTTTGGTACCATGCAGGATCCCCAGCTGTCAGTCTAGAGTGCATGAGCTCCCAAAAGTTCTGGTCAACTGCCCTGTCATGATCTTGAACCCCCTTGCTCTCTTTGACTGGATTCCCATAGCTCAGCCTGGTGCTTGGATGAGCATCTGCTTATATCAATTACTGAATGATGGTTCTATGATGACAGTTAGGGTATTCACCAATCCTGTTACGGGAGAAGGCCGGTTTAGGCACACTCTGCTAGGAGTGTTATCTGGATTCATCCTTGTGGATTCCTGGGAATTTCCCTAGCATCAAGTTTCTCCCTAACCCCTTAATGGCTTCCTCTATCAAGATATCTCTTTCCTTGCTCTCCTACCCCCAACTCGTCCATCCCATTCCCTCATGTTTTTATCCTCCATCCCCTCCCCTTTATTTCTCCCTACTCCTAGTTTACCCAGGAGATCTCATCTATTTCCCTTTCCCAGGGTACTCCATGTGTTCTTAGGGCCCTTCTTGTTACCTAGCTTCTCTGGAGCTGTGGATTGTGGTCTGGTTATCCTTTACTTTACATTTGTATCCACTTATGAGTGAGTACATGCCATGTTTGTCTTTCTGGGTCTGAGTTACCCTACTCAGAATGATTTTTTTGTAGTTCCATCTATTTGCCTGCAAATTTCATGATGTCATTATTTCTAACTGCTACGTAATGCTGCATTGTGTTAATGTCCCATTTTTTTTTTTTTTTTTTTTTTTTTTTCCATTCTTCAATTGAGAGGCATCTTGGTTGTTTCCAGGTTCTGGCTATTACAAATAATGATACTATGAAAATAATTAATCAAGTGTCCTTGTGGTATGATTAAGCATCCTTTGGGTATATGCCAAAGAGTGGTAATGCTGGATCCTGAGGTACACTGATGCTCAATTTTCTGAGAAACTGCCATATTGATTTCCAAAATGGCTGTACAAGTTTGCACTCCCACCATCAGTGGAGGAGTGTTCCCCTTACTCCACAACCTCTCCAACATAGGCTATTATCAATGTTTTTGAAGATATCAGAAAATTGGAGAATCTTACAGATTTCTTTAAGAATAATTGATATGTTGTCTTGAAAAGTGATTCAAAATTAAAATTAAGCTATTTTTTCAGATTTACTAAAAAAGACTTGTAGAACACTCAGATATGAGGACTCCTGCCATATCTCTACCATATCTTCTATGGGTCATATTTTGTAATAGCATGCTCATGTTAAACCAGTCATCAAAGAACTGCCTAGGGGCCCCAGAATAGTATAAGTCATTACAGAAACTTCACTCAACTACCTCTCATCAACTTTTAATAGTATAAACACAGATCTAAGTCACAAAGATGAATTTACGATATGATGTTTAAACACTGTCTCCAATATTCTCACCATAAAACACTATCTTTTGACCAAGGCCATGTAGATGTTTGACACTTCCAGACAATCTGAATGTATGAGTTACTCTGGCTGGGTGCAAACCATGTGTTGTGATTCATCAATAGTAAAATTCTTTGACAATGCTTATTTTCAGTGACCCTGCACTGTATGGCTGCTCACCTTAACTATTAATTGCCAGCAGATTGCATGGAATCTCATCCTATTTATCTCTTTTCTGTGTTTTCTTTCCCTTTCCTGTACTTGCTACTTTGCCCATTGTTACTAGGATCAAGTTGTGTGTATAACAATTGTGTGAGGTCAACGATGCCAGGTCCGGTCTTGACTTTATTTCCAGTTTGCATGTTGTGTGGATGGTCAGTGACTTTCTCTAATTTGTTCTCCCTTTTAGTTTTGACTTACAGTTTTTGAAAATAACCCATATACTTATGTCCATGATTTCAAAACTCCAAAAACAAGATTATTAAAATTCTAATAGTAATATTATTTTGTACGTTACCTTTTTCAAATGGTGTGTCTGTTTCCAGTGCTAACCCAGTGGGTCAGATTCCTGTGTTGGTTTAAAATCATTATTTTCTTATAAGGTTTTGGTATAAATATTAATCCAATATAGATAAAAAATTAAGAAGACTTTCATGAAATTTTCTTTAATACATAATTATTAGGACTTGTTTTAAACTCCTTACAGAATTAGAAGTTTTAAACTCCTTACAGAATTAGAGTTTTAAAACTTCTTACAGAATTAGTGGACCATTTCAGTTGTAACAAGTAATTTAAAAATTTCTGACCCAGTCATTCAGGTTGCTTTTTAAAAGACAAATCTAACTTACATAGCATCTTTGGATTTATTCCCAAAACATGTATATGCTTATTATATTTTAGTATCCAGGTTCCTGCATTCTGAAGTCATTTTAGGCATTATTATTTGTATCTGAGCCAAAATGGCCATTTACATTTCATCTTTGGGGAACTTTCTGAATTAAGAAAGCTGGGCTGTTAAATAGTTTCTGGCGGTGGGTCTGTGGTCCATTTCCATTTACTGTCAATGCTGTTTCATTTCTGATGCTGTGGAGTCATTATCATGATATTGCTGCTACAGGAGCATTTGTTTTGTTCTTGTATGATAAGTCCTCGGGTATTCATTGATTATTCCCTCAGACTTTATGTATAAGAGCAGCATGGGCTCATGGGTGGTGGGGAAAGCACAGGAAATAGCCACATTTGTTCAGAGATGATAAAATAACAGTTTATATAGGAACATATTTCAAGGGATATTACTTTTTAAAATATGTACATACATTCAAAAATCAATATACACAGTGTGATTTAGAATATACCTTTATCAGTCCGTTAAATGAACATAGTTAATCACTTTAAATATAATAGGATGCTTCCGTAGCTGCCCTTATTTGTAATAATAAAGATGAGCAAAATGGAACCAAAGGATACCAACTTTTATATGATATGATTTATATGAAATGGTATGAAATTCATGAATTTTTAGGTTTCATTATACAATTTATTTTTCTCAGTTATAGAAATTTTAGATATGGATTACAGGTTATCAGTTAGATATAAAAATAATAATTACTTGGTTTAGTAAGCTACCACTACTTAATGAAATATTCTATACAATTAATCTTAAAGAAAATAGCAATGTAAATGTTCTAAAAAAAAAAAGACCTCAAATTTTATTCATAAAATGGACAAGAACATCAAGAAAACCATGAAGCAACTTACTGAAATATGAGCATTTGTGAATTTTACATGTCTTAATGCAGAAACAATACTGCAAGGTAATGTCTAGGTTTGTTCTTACTTTACCACTGGCTACTGCAATGATAACTTTTTTATTTTCCAACTTGTTTTTACAACAAATGTAAGTTATTTGTCAATATAAGCATCATTTACAGAAGTTGACTGAGACACTGGCCCATATCCTGAGCATAGAAAAAACACAAATTCCCACCCCCACAGTGACCCTTTCTCAAATAAGGCTGTGCCCAGTCCAACAGGACTGGTGACACTCCCTATGAGATTATAGGGGGCAGTCACATTCAAAGTACCAAAAAATTTAAGAAGTAGAATTTGAAAATTAAAAATTTGCCATTAGTATATTATTTTCTCAGAATAGAAGACAATTATGCTACCTCCAAACACAAATCAAAGAAGAAATGTCATTTATTTACTCAACTTTAAGTTCTCTGTCAGGGAGGTACATCAGAAGTTCCTAGTCTTTGAGAATTTAGATGTTGTAAAATTACAAAGAACACTTAACTTACATTTACTTATGCAACCTATTTCAATCCATGGAAGATGCGCCTTGAATTAATGAGTTCTTAAAATATGTTCACGAGAATGAGAGTACCTGACTTTTTAATGAAATTCACTACAATATGAGAAATTTTAAACTGTGGAGGATGTTGCAGAGTATGAAACTCGGGAAGAAGAATAACTGGTTTCTTAGGGATCTGACTGAGCCTCTACTGGCTCTATGAAGAATGCCAGTAGGTATGTTCATTGCATGCATAATGACATTGCATGGTTCAGTGGATAAGCCTGGCTTTTCTTTCCAGCTTACTTCTTTACTTGGACTCTATGTTTTCAAGATGCTTTTGTATTGCTTCTGGTTCAACTATGTTATTTCTCACTTTACTGTAGTTCCTAAAGTCAGGGTGCTACCTATAGCCTATAAGTTCACTTTAAATATCAGAAATATGAGCAATGGATTTTTATTTCTTGAGTTTATTGATTTCTGCTTATGGAACACAGATATAAAAATCATAATTTTGGGGAATTATTAAATTTTATTTCTTATATATATGTGTATATATATATGATTACAAAGTATTTTTCATCATTGCAGTGAAAATCTTAATTAGTAATTTCTATATCTAAGCAATAATTCACTATTATTAGCTTTCATTCACCATTATTTCAAGTATTTGTCAAATGGTACCAGGGAGACCACTTTAACACAGTATCTGTCCAGTGAAATCTAGATCGCTATTACTTACTTCAGTCCCAGGTAAAGCAATTTTACCAGGTAAGTTCAAAAGTGGATTAAATGTGAATTAACCTAAAAGTCGCTTTGTTACATGTTTGTTCAAGATGGTCATTTATTTGCTTGTATTCCCAACAGGAGGACTATACTGACTGTGGTGGTGTTTCTGGATTAAATCCTTCCTTGTGGTCTATCATTGGACTTCAATTTCTACTCCTTTGGCTGGTATCGGGCAGCAGACACTACCTATTATGATCTTCTAGACCCCAGATCTGCAACTATAAATCCAGACCCTGCCCACACATGAGCCCTCAGTTACATTAAAATAGAGTCAATTGAAGAAGCTACACAGAACATTAGCTGGGCCTCTACCACGGCATAAATCTAAGGCTCAGATCCTTGATCACTCACTGACTGCATGTCAGGGTGTTGGAGCCTGAAGCCTGTGTGAATGCTGCATCATCTATGTCTAACGTCAAAGTAAAACTCTTGTCCGTGCTCGGTGGGAAGTTTGGGAGTTCACTGTTGTGCCATTGGTGATTACATGTAAAAGGCTCCCCCACGCAGGTGTTAGGAAAAGAAGAAGTGTCTTGACTTTGACCTAGGATTTCAACCTGCTACAGTTTTACCAAAAAGGAGAAAAGGAAAAAAGGAAAGAAAAAACAAAGCCCTAGTGGGGGGCAATGATATTTTTGCCTTCACTTATTTTCTGTTAAAAAGTAATTCATGCTATAAGTAGTTATAATAGAGAGAGAGGGAACGAGAGAGGGAGAGAGGGAGGGAGAAAATACAGTGGTCTAAACTGTTGAAATACAAACTAATGGCTAATTTTCTACCAAAAAATGCTTATGAATAAAATGCCTTATAAAAGAATGATTTCTCTGCCAAAAACAAAACACAACTGTGACCAGTTGAATTTGGATAAGGTGTGAAGTGCTGGTTTGGAAATAAGGATGGGGTGACTAAGTTACAGGTGCTTGTTGGTGAAATTGGAATTCATGACACATTTCCTCATAAATGTAAGCCCTTTAATGCGTGATGTAATGTCCCTTTTGTTCCAAGTACAGTCATGTAGTGCTAGCCAGATATTTAACTCACTCTAAGAGAAGCTTGTGGGGGGGAGGGGAAATGTTTTCCTGTGGTTAATGAATTTGGGTTGCCAAGGGTATTTTGCATGATGCTGCTGCTATTTTAACTTTCCAGTTTGTTTTCCTTCTTACTGTAGAGTATAGTCCACTGAAAAGTTAAATGGGTGACATTATTGTCATGTAAGAATCTGAACTTTGCACTTAAGTCATCTTTCAACATGTTGTTAAACTACTCTGAATATACTGTGTGATGTAAATGCTGAATGACTGGGTTAGGCACATGGTGAAATAAGAATTCATGTATTTTATACAGATTCATGCTTTTGCCTGAAAACCTATGTACAGATATTTTAAGTACATAAATCAGATTTAACACATTTATTTTTTGAAAAGTACATATATGTTCTCAATGAAAATTCATCCTAGGTTTCCTCTTTGTTCGTTTCAATAGTAGCATGTACAATTCAGAAATTGCTGCTCTTGCTGCTTCTGTCCCTCCATTTTGGTATGATCCTATGACCAAGTTCCCATGCAACTTCATGAGGGTTTTACATTAATATGAACAAATAGGAAACCTTGAATCTATGTGTATGCACATGAACACTTGATTGTGAATAATAAAATTTGTTTTTCTAAAGCTTTCTTGGTGAGAAGCATTAGTGTAGTAGGTCAGAAATTTCACTGTAGATTAATATGGTATCTAAACTTTATTTATGCTTCTAAAAATTATTTTGAGGACTAAACAGTATTTGAAGAAAGGGTAAAAACGATGAATGTGTCTAGGAAGAGTAATTTTACTGTAAGCTGAAAGTACACATATATTTTTATGATAAATGAAGTTTTTTTTCTTATTAGTTCCACATGCCAATTATTGGTGTGTGCATATGCTGGAAACTTTCATATATATAATTTTGCAATCAGAATTATTTACATTCTCCAGCATACTTTAATATGCTCCACATATCAAAGCTGTAACCAACTCTTTAACATAGTTCATAGCTTTGCAAACACTGTAATTCCTTCCTACCACCATGCTATTCTGGGTACCATTTGTGTACGTTTCATAAGTTAAAATGTTATTTTAATTAAAAAGGGGGAGGGGCACTCTACCAACTATTGTCCTAAGAAATTTCGTCAGTCACCACTTTAATACATTGTCATTTTTAGTCTATTCATAACTGCTGTTGACCTTAGAAAGCAGAAAGATGATTTAAAAAGAAGGGAAAATATGTTTAAGGCATGCTGTTTGTTAATTATTTTAAACTTATTTTTACCTTTTGTTGGATTAATTTGTGGACATGTTAGGGAAGGGAACTACTAGTTTATACATATAAATGATGCACATTTAAAAACCATTGAATTGCTTCTGGAAAACAACAACCTACCTTAAATTATGTTTAAAGTGTATTGACTTTCATGGCTAATGTCACTCACAGAGTGAATTACCATCAATGTCATTATTGTTGCAATAGTCACCTTTGAACTTGGCACCTCCTGGCAAGGCCTTATTTGATTCAAGTTCTACATCATCACATCCACATATGTAGTAACAAATTGGGCAAAAGCTTGCCCTCTCACTATAATTTCTTTTCATGATATAAACTAATATTCATGCTTTTGCATACTTCTTTTTAAATGACAGCAACATGCATCCACCAAAATTACAGTGTAACACTTAACATTTTTCTGCAAATTCTATTGACAAGAATAGTATAGTGTGTTATTTACAGAAACAAAATTATATAAGAGATCATTTTTAAAAAAAAACATTTGAACTGTTTCTACTTAGTTAATTGTTGCTATACTCATGTAGCTCACTGTACTTTGTCACATAAACAAAGTCCAAACAAGTCTTGCATTGGTGTTGAGTAGCAGAAAGAATTTTTGCATAAATGGTTTCATCTTTTCTTCATTTGAACAACCAGCATTACTGCCAAACACCAATCGTGGTCCATATTTGTAACAGGTTTTTAACATGACATAGTTAGCAAGTTTGATTGAAGAGATTTTTAGGTCCTGGGCCTACAAGATTTTAGTATGATCTTTTTTCATGTTTCTAATGCTTGAAGCATTGTTGCTTACCTTGGAGAACACAGTGTTGCTGCCATTTGTAAGTTTTCTTATATATAATATTCCTTTTATTAATTGTAAAACTGGCCTTACGGGGTTCAAATAGGCAGTATCCCTTTTAAGTGACCTTTGCAACCCAAGTGTTACTTGCTTATTTGATGCTCTCTTGTACTTTACATCTCATTTGAATGCGTGTCTTGAAGTCACCAAAGCTTAATTTAAAACTCGTAAGTCTAAAGGCATAAAGTCTAACTTAGCAAGAAACAATGGATTTTGTGATTTTTTTTTCCATTTGCCCCAGTTCCCAAATATTTTATCACTAGCTAGAACTTGCATTGTTTTCTCCATAGCAGAATGTTTATATTGTTAATATTCGGTGTACATTTCTGTAAAGAGCAAATTACTAAAACAGAACTATCAAGTGCTGAAAACTTCCAGAATTTTGCAGAATTCAATAGCCCTTACCAATGGTTTCATCTACCTTGTTTCTAGATCACATAAAAGAACCATGGAACTTCCACTGGGATACTGTCTTGTGTAGATGCCAACTGAGTTTCCACTGTGACTGGCAAAGCTGTCCTTCCCTTGTGCTCTGTGACTGTGGGGCTATGCTTTAGGGATTCCCTTCATGAAATGCTCATTGTGTGTCATGCAAAAGGCCAAGTGGCTTTTGTGAACAACAGAACTTTTCCTTCCCTTCTTATGTTCTCTTGACACTTTTGTGGAAATTACCTAGCGGGATGAAAACATTTTGTAAAAATTTGTATAATACTGTTATAAAAAATATTTATAATCCCAGAAAACATTGTGTTAAATCTTGTGCAAAAACAGTATATTCAGAATAAAAGTTTATCATTGAAAGTCACCACACAGTTTGGGGTTTTGCCTTTTTTAAAGATCTAGTTGAAAGAGACAATAGTCCATCTTAAATAGGTTTTCTTAAAAAGCAGGACTGTGGTCTGGAGAGGATTCTAGACTGCACAAATAAAATTTGCCTTTAGATGTGTGCTTTTTTACAGTTACAGATCTCAACTCACACAGGAATGTATAGGATGATTCTCCATGTGACTCTGACCTTCCTTACCTGTGCATTCTCCACAAAGACTTTAAGGACTTTAATACACTAAATAAATAAGACAAATTTCTAGGGGGGAAAATCATAGTTCTGGTTTTCTTTAAAGACCTCAGAAGAAACAACACATCTGACATGTGTGTACTACTGATATAACTTAAATATAATACTTCTTGAAAATATTGGCAATAAATGGTAGGCATGAGATTGAAATACCATGTATGTTATTTTAAGTGAACAGTTACTGTTTGCCTCACTTCTGCAGAAGCTTTATAGTGCTTGATAGTGTTCGTAAGCTACTTCTGTATATGTTTCCTTATTTTCCTACTTTTATGCACTTAGTGTTCCTTAAAATAGACCAAAATATGACCTACATTAGAGTCTGTTGTATGTGGTATTGATTACTGGAAAATCCCTACCATGTCTGATCAAGGCATATTAATAGGAAAACAAGCCTACTTTAAAAAAAAAAGGCAGATAACATTCATTTTTGTTTGTTTGTTTGTTTGGTTGGTTGGTTGGTTGTTCTGAATGTCTGGCTTTAAGCAACACCAATTTGTCTCATCAGTGTAACTTTGTTCTCCTCAGAACGTTTCATTTCCATCATCATCCTCTTGATCCATTCTCATCTATTCAAGTAGGAGCCTGGCTCCATTGATTTTCCTTTACAAAGGTTTTCCAGTTTCCCTTCTCTGTAGCCTTCTTTGCCCTCTCTACCTGCAACTGTATTTAGTATACCTCTAAAACATACACAGCAATTATATACCTTACCACTGCCCATTAATCCAATTACTCTATAGGTCTATAAATTCAGCCATTTATCTCTCTTCTTTTTTGCATTGTATTTAATTGGGCCCTATAATATTACATCTATAAGACAATTTATATTTGAACTTTATTTCATAAAACTCCTGAAAATTTGAGACTATTGGTATGAGTACCTAATAAATTCAAGGTCTTGAGTGACTTTTATTCTGAAAGTTTTGCTCTTTTACATTTTTATCCCTCCCCACAGCACCTACATATTCCTAAACTGGAATGCAACTTAGTGACATTTATCCCATGTTGTATAATCAACTATATGCTTTACATAATTATTTAAGAAGGAAATTTAATATTACTGTCATAATTACTTCATTGCCTTACAGTACATTTATAGCAATTCCAGTGACACTGACAATAGCAAATGACAGTTGTCAAAAATGACTTATTTCCAACACTTCTCCAATGTATTTATTGGAAAAAGCCTAGTCGGTCAAGTGGATAATGAATTTTTAAGTATTAATCTCCACTCAAACATCAGATTATAAATTATGATCAATGAGATATTACTTTTAAACATTTTCAAAATTTGATTTGTCTCATGTGTGTAACTTTCATCCAAAATATTTTGTGACACTCATAACAGCTGTCCTGTTTGTGATTCAGCATTCCACTGATGTTTATCTTCTATACCTTGCTCAGTTTTAAGTTTTTGTTTAGACCATCATGTACTTCACAAAGAAATTTCTCTGATTATGACTGAGA